TGGGCAAGTCACTTAAGCCCATTGCCCAGCCAAAACAAATAAACAAATAAATAAATAAATGGCCTTTAAAAATGCCCTTCCACAGACACACATGCCTTTCTCCCTTCTACCAAAAATACAACTCTATCCCTTCCTCTCCAGTCTCCTCTCTGACCTTGTCCCATCAGTCATCACCTTTGGCTGGAAGGAAGTGAGTCATGGCAGACTCATCTCATTTCTTTTTCTGGCTTGATGAGCAGACCTGCACTGTCATTGTAATTTAGCCAGATTTCAGCAGGGCATTTGATGAGGTCTCTAGCGATAAGCTTGAGGTGAAGACATGTGGATTAGAGGATGAGATAAGCACATAGGTTTGGAGCTGTGTGCCCGACTCCGACCAAAGATGGCCAGTCATTAGTAGGTCATTGTCAAGTTAGAGTGGAACAGAGAGACCCAAGGAGCCAGACTTGGCCCCAAACTTTTTAAAAAATCAGTGATATGGATGAAGGTATGGACTTTACATCTGTCACATTTGGAGAGAGTACAAAGCTAGGACGGGCAGCTAATGCTGGATGATAGATAGGGTCAGGAGCCAGAAATAGCTGGGCCAGGACTAAGGAAATGAAATCTGACAGGGAGAGACAAAAAATTCTGTCTTTGCCTTGAATGAATGAACAGATGGATGGGAAAAGCATTCATCAAGGACTTAGCGCGTGCCAGGCCCTGTTAGCAATGGGTATATAAATGCAAAAAGCAAAGCATTCTCAGCCTTTGAGGAACTTAGGGCATTCTCTCTGGCTCTCCTCCATGCCTGGAGCGCTCTCCCTGCTCTGCTCCGACTACTGACCTCCCCGGCTTCCTTCAAGTCCCAGCCCCTGTGTAGGAAGCCTTCCCCAACCCTTCTTCACTCCAGCGCCTTCCCTCGTTAACTATGTCCTATTTATCCTGGATATGGCTTGCTTTGTATAGATTTATTTGCATGTTTTCTGTCCCATTGGATTGTAAGCTCTTTGAGGGCATGAACTGACCTTTGCCTCTTTTTGTATCCTCTATGCTTAGCATAGTGCCTGACACACAGTAGGCATGTTGACTGGTAGCAGAAATAAATGAGATAACAGATAAATGAGAGTTGCTGTGGTCTGGAACATCATAGGGATGTTGAGGGCAGCTTTGAAGCAAAACTTGACAAGTCCTTTCCAGGAACAGTAGTGTTGATTTGATTAACATTGAGGGGAAAAGAGATTAAAGATGGCTAGAGATCATCTAGGTGGGTCTAGATCTGCTAGATGGGGTATACTTTCACTAAACAGGAGCTGGGCCCATGGGTGGGATCTGGAATGTTGGGCTGGAGGTAGAGACTGGATCCAGTGGGTCATTTTTTTTTAAATTTTATTTTTAATTTTTTAAATTTCATTATTGAAATTGAAATTTAAAAATTTCAATGAACAAAAATCTATTTTCTCTGCTTTCCACCTTCCTCTACTACCACTCCAACTGAAAAAAAAAGAATAAAAGAAACACAAAACATTTGTAACAAATATGCAGAGTCAAGCACAAATTCCCACATTAGTCACGTCCAAAAAATCCGCCTCATGCTGTACCCCAAGCCCATGGCTTTTTAGGAGGTGAGCAGTGTGTTTCATCATCAGCCTCCTGCAGTTCTGTTCGGTTTACATTGATCAAAGTCCTTAAAAGGCTTTCAAGATTTTTAAACCCCTATTCTGACGCTCTAGGAAAAATTGCTTAAAACTTAGATTTTAGCTCTTGTCTAGGGTCATTCCAAAAAAGGAAAGGGCGGGGTGGTGATTTGAAAGGTACTCAGTGTATAATATGCATCAGGTGTGGAATAGGCATTTATTTGCTCCACATGAAAGAAATGCTAAACATTAAACAGGAGAACTCTGGCAGAAAGACTTAAAAACAGGATTAGGTAGCTTAAGTTATGTTAATTGTTATGCTTTTCCAGGAGCCTGATAGTTAAACCTCCTCTTGAACATAATTTTTCTGGATTGTGGAGTAGGTATTTTATAATACATTTCAACTTGGTTCTGCACTGTCCACCTCAAGGTAGATATCTTTTGTCAAGCTGGACCAAGGTTGGGGTTCATCTTCTTGTTGGTGCTCATGTGCTCCAGGACGACAACTAGTAGTTGTGGAAGATTCCTCCTGTTGGTCCTGACCCAAGGACCTAGGACCTAGCACCATCCAATTTCTTGAACTCACAAGGTGTCTTCTAAGGGCAGGTGGGTATATCTCTGGGTCAATATTCACTCACTGAAAATCAGGGGAAAACAAAGTCAGAAGGAGTAGCTTCAAACCCAGGACCAACCACCCCTAGGTAGGATGCGGGTTTTATACCTGTCATGTACCTACAGCTGCTGTTTCTTCTGGGGCAGTGTTGAAGGGTAGCCCATCTCCTTGTCTACTGGTGGACACGGAGAGTCCAAAGAAGAAAACCAGGGACAGAGTCCCTCCCTTTTTCAAGGTTCACAAAGTCTTCTGCTCTTCCCGATCAGTGGCCAATGAAGGAGATGTGCCATCATCCTGAAAGCACGAGAGTCCCTCAGCCCAAGTCACCAGTGATCTTGGGGCGTCTCCACCCATTAAATGTTTGTTGAACTGTTGTTAGCTTTCTTCAAGGGAAGTAAAGACTTCCTGGAGGAGGCGGCACCTGACCTGAGGCTTGAAAGATGCCATTGCTTGCCAAATTGTTCTGGTTTCATTTACTGATGCTCTCAGAAGGATTCCTACCAGCTGGGTCATTCCTCCAGCACACGCTTAGAATACATATTTTTTTAATTACAAACTTCACCACCAGCAACAAAAATTGTCACATGGACATACAAAACAAGAAGGAAAGTCTTAGGCCAAAGCTGTCACCAGTCAAAACACCTCCACCCCCAGGAATGAACAAACAACAGAGAAACAAAGAAAACGCTTTTACTCTGAGTCCCGGTCTATTCCATCACCTTTGTTCTTGTTTTCCTGCCTTGCCTAGCTGGAGCCAGAGACAATGAGATCCTTCTTCTACAGATTTCACTCTGCATCCTTTCACTTGGAGTGAGGAAGCCTTGAATTCAAATCCTACCCTGGAATTAGCTAAGTGACCCAGGACAAGTCACTTACCCTTTCTCAGTCTCAGTTTTTTCATCTGTAAAATGGGCAGTAACAACAGCACCTATATCCCAGGGTTGTTGTGAGAACTGACATGAGACAACCTATTTTCACAACACTTTGCAAACTAAAGTACCAGATAAATGTTCCATCTTAGTTCATTTCCTTCTATGTTTCATATTTAAAGATTTTTAATTGGACCATGAAAGGAATAAACTGTAATTTGCTGCCATTCTCCAGTTGTTGGATACAGAGCTTGTTTCTGGTTGAGTTTTTTTCGTGTGTTTGTTTAGCTGGCTTGGGGTTTTATTTTCTCCTACAATAATAGCGCCGCTTTAAATATTTTTGCAGAGAGAGGTCCTTTTTCACCTTTTCATGATGTTTTTGGGACAGACTCCTAGCAATGGAATCTGTAAGCTCTTCCTTCCTTCCTTCCTTCCTTCCTTCCTCCTTCCTTCCTTCCTTCCTTCCTTCCTTCCTTCCTTCCTTCTTTCTTTCTTTCTTTCTTTCTCTCTCTCTGTCTCTCTCTCTCTCTCTCTCTCTCTCTCTCTCTCTCTCTCTTCTCTCTCTCTCTCTCTTTCTTTTCTTTTCCTGTTGGGTCACATGCCAGTCTTTGTAACCTTTTGTCAGCCTCTTTCATAATGTTTGGAAAATCAGTTGGCGTTCTCCACTGGTGTTACCTTTGGCTATCCCAACTCTGCTTGGCAAGGAGCTCCAGTTTCCGCTGCCAGGGGAGAGACAAAGGAAAAGGATGCTTAGTCCCTGCCCTCTGGGAGTTTGCCATCTAGTATGGATGACAAAAACTGAGGCTCAGAGAGACCTGCCCAAGGTCACACAGGCTAGTGGAGATGGGGAAGGCAGGAGCATGATTAAAAGGGATTTATGGTGAGGGGAAACTCCATCTCCCTTGAAGATGTCTGACTACAGGGGGAGTGGATAGAAGCCTCCCCTGGTGGGAAATGAGAGAGCTGTCAGACCCCAGGATCAAGAACTTGGCATGTTCCAGAAAGGGAAGGTACTAACACCTAATCTTCACATGCCCGTTGGAGCTGAGGTGGGGACACTGTAGCCCTCTAGGTGCTCAAGTGCAGCCCTTTGACTGAATCCCAACTTCACAGAACAAACCCCACCTCTGCATCGGAGCTGGCCAGATCCTTTTACACATCATCTCCTTTCACACTGAGGCTGGACTCAAACCAAGTCCAGTTCTCTAACCACTATGCAAACTGTCGCTCAGAAACCATGTGCCTGTGTTATAGCTGTCTGGAGGGTGGAGACTACTTTGCACATAGTCAGCACTTAATGTTTTTATTTTTTTAAGTTCTCTTTTCTCTTTCTTTCTCCTTCCTTCCTTTCTTTCAGTCTTTCTGTCTTTTTTCCTTCCATCCTTCCCTCTCTCCTCTCTCTCTTTCTCCCTCTCTCACCCTTCTTTCTTTCTCCTTCCTTCCTCCCTTCTTTTCTCTCATTCTCTTTCTCTCTTTCTTGCCTTTCTTTGTGTCTTTCTTTTCTTTGTTCTTTCCTTCCTCCTTTCTCTTTTCTCTCTTTTTCTCTTTCTTTCCTTTCTCTTTCTTTCTCTCCTTCTCTCTCTCTCTCTCTCTCTCTCTCTCTCTCTCTCTCACTTTCCTCTCTCTCTCTCTCTCGCTTTCCTCTCTCTCTTTCTCTCGCTTTCCTCTCTCCCTCTCTCTCTCTCTCTCTCTCTGTCTCTCTCTCTCTCTCTTTCTCTCTCTCTCTCTCTCTCTCTCTCTCTCTCTCTCTCTCTCTCTCGCTTTCCTCTCTCTCTTTCTCTCTCTCTCTCTCTCTCTCTCTCTCTCTCTCTCTCTCTCTCTTCTCTCTCTCGCTTCCTCTCTCTCTCTCTCTCTCTCTCTCTCTCTCTCTCTCTCTCTCTCTCTCTCTCTCTCTCTCTCTCCCTCTCTCTCTCTCTCTCTTTCTTCTTCTCTCCCTGTATCTTGTAGTAGGGTGTATGCTCCGCAGGGGCAGGGACCACATCTCATCTAAACTGTGGAATGAATTCTTTGATGAAGGTAGGGTGAACACTATCTCATAACAATGCCCTGGGCCGGGCTGGCCCAGTGGGGACAGGGCAGGAGAGAATTTCAGTTAGATACTGTAGAAAGAGTGCTAGCTCTGAAGTCAGAGAGCCTGGGTTCAAATCCTGCCACATGGGGAAGCCCCTCCACCTTGCTGGGTTTCAGTTTCTTTGGACTAGACCCTCTAAGGACCTTTCCTCCTCTAGAGCCAGGATCTCATTCTCTATGGATGGTTTGGGGAAGACACTTGACTGTATTGGGCCTCAGTTTCCTGGTCTAGAAGATGAAGGGGTTGGATTGGACAACCGCTAGGGTCCCGGCCAGCTAGCTTTAAGGTCACGTCTTCCTGGGGCCACGAAGTATGATTCCCCCAGCCTCCTAGCCTCAGTATCCTCTTCCCAGGGCAGCTGGCCAGCGGAGCCGAGGTGCCCGGCACAATGACGGCATTGTGGAGGCTTGAGAGCTTGGGGGAGGAGGGGATCAAAGCCTGGAGTTACAGCGGGAGGTGTCCTGGGAGCCCAGGAGAGCAGGGATAAAAACCGGCAGCTTCCTGCCATTGCAGCAGGGCTCTGGAAGGACAGCAAGTCCTGACTATGGAAGGAATAAGGGATGAGGTCAACCTTGAACCTAAGGGTGGGGGTAGGGGCAGAGTTTTGTTAGAGTGTGGGGTAACCCTCCTCTGAGCAGTCCTTACCTTGAATTATGGAGTCATAGAATGTCAAGGCTGGGAGAGGCCCTAGAACAGGGAAGGTCAGAGCCGGGAGGGAACCTTCACACGAGGCTCTAAGAAAGTAGAAGCTTAATGTCAGAGGGACCTGGCTGGTAGATAACAGAACCCACAATGTCAGACGTTGATTACAACATTTATTGGTGGGTTTTGTTTTTCTGTCACTTTCACTGGTGAATCTCTTCCTCTTCTTCCCTGCTGAAACAAAAAATAAAACGAGGAAAGACAAAAGACAAAAGATAAAACGAGGAAAGACTTTGAAGACGTTCCGAAGCTTGGGGCCACTCACTCCCCCAAGAGTATTGTGGGTAGATTTCAGGGGGTCTGTGAACTTGGATGGGAAAAAAAAGAACAGTTTTATTTTTACTAACCTTTATCTGAAAGTTAGCAGTTCCTTCAATTATAAATAAAGATGACAAATACGGTTCTGAGAAGGGGTCCATAGGCTGCACCAGACTGAGGGCCAGAGGAGTCCGGGGAAAAAAAAAGGTAAAGAACTCCAGCTCTGGGCCAAACCCCTCATTCTGCAGATGGGGAAACTGAGGCCCAGGGAAGGGAGTCCTACACTGTTATTGGCAAAAGGGGGACAGAAAGCGATGTCTCATTGTCAAGCCCAGCATGCTTTTCCTTGACCTGTGATACTCCCTTGACCCGCACACACGAACACTCCTTTTCCAGCCTGAGCTCTTTTCCTGTGAGGCGCTGGAGTGTGCCTAGATAAAGATACCTCCCCCCTCTCCTCCACCTCCCGGCCATCCCACAGCTCATCAGCCCTCAGGGAAAAAGAAACCCTTCCATTAATACCCATTGTCCTTCAGACTGTCTCCCACTGAACCCTGATAAAATCGTTTGAAGTCCCAGAGTCCCCTCCACACCAGGCTCTCCGCACCGGCTGCCTCCAGCTAGGGAGGTATACAGAGGAGGTCAGAAGTTTGCCTGCGATCACCCAGAATGTCTGCTAACTATAGTTCAGGCTGCCTGACCACCAACTCCAACCCGGGGCCACCATTATCCTCCTCCTGCTTACACCATCTGAATTTTTCACTGCATCTAAAACACAGGGTGGGACAATGAATTGTCATCAGCTCCAGGGAAGCAGGGTCAGGACAGGGAGGAAGGGGTGGCTCGAGGAGAAGGTTTTGGGCAGAGGGGGAGTTCAAATCCGGCCTCAGACACTTGACACTTACTAGCTGTGTGACCTCAGGCACTGTAGATACCTCCCTGTGCCTCAGTTTCCTCATCGGTAAATTAAAGGCCTTTCTTTCTCTCAATTTTTAATTAGAGGGAGGGGGATTAGTAATAGTGATGCTAAAGAAAGGAGGACCATTATAACAGTTTTTAAAATGCCCAGAAGAAAATAAAAGGAATCATAGACAAGCTTTGAAAATTAGAATTTATTATAGACTTTTGTTTTTTAGAAAGCTAGACTGGCAGGCCTCTGAGATGTCTTCTAAAACCATGATTCTGTGTAAAAAGGATAAATTTGGGGCAGGTAGGTGGCACAGTGGATAGAGCACCACCCTGGAGTCAGGAGGACCTGAGTTCAAATCCGGCCTCAGACACTTGACACTTGCTAGCTGTGTGACCCTAGGCAAGTCACTTAACCCTGATTGCCTCACCCAAAAAAAGTATAAAAGAAAAATGAATGTCCAAATAGTCCACCTGGAAACCAATATTTCTCATGAGCACTATGCTGTGTCACCTTGGCTCCATCTCATCGGAGCCTCATACCAACCTGATGGGGCATTAAAGCCCATTTCCATCGGGTGAGTATAACTTTCCATTACCTTCTGCTGTAAAATGGAAGATCTTGAGAAAAAGAAATCTCCCCCCTCCCAAAGGTAACCAAAATTATACTTAAAGTACCTCAGAGGAAATGAAAATAAAAGGGGAAATGGCAATCAGAAAAGGTATGAAAAGTAGTATTCAAGATATCGACAATACCTGAAACTTAAAAGAATTGCCATTCAACCAAAGTTATCAAAATACTGAGAGTGAAATAAAACCAGGTGGCTTTACACAGCAGGTGTGCTCTGGAAAGGTATGTAAAGGAAATGTCTGTAAAAGTGGAAACGCGTCTGAAATGTATTAAGGGAACATTTATTGGTGGGTTTTGTTTTCCTATCACTTTCACTGGTGAATCTCTTCCTTTTTCTTCCAGTAAGTTTCCTTGTTGAAACAAAAAAATAAAACAAGAGGAAAGAAACAGAAAAGCCTGATCAGGCTTTGAAGACGTTCCTAAGCTCGGGGCCACTCACCCCCGCAAGGAGACTGTGGGTAGATTTCAGGGGGTCTGTGAACTAACGGCTTTATTTTTACTAACCTTTATCTGAAATTTAAAGATGTTTAAAGATTCTGAAGATGTTTTCTGCTAATTCTTTGGGAAAGTCAAGAATCACCCCCCAACTTTTGAGAGTGAAGATGCGGTGGTTTTCTGAAGGATGGGGGAGCCATCGGGCACAGGGTCAGAAATCTCTGGAGGAGCTTGTCCCTAGTGGAGGCAACAATCCCTAAAGCATTAGCGCCTGGTTCCATTTTTTCCATCATTCTTAAGCTGGCTTCACACCCCTAACTGAACACCCAAGCTCATGATTTGGTCTTGAATTTTTTCTTCTTTCTGTACTACCAATGGAAGCACAGAGATCTAGAACCAAGATATCTCAAAGGTTCCCAGGATAATACATCTAGAGACAGAAGGGAGATGAGGGGTCACCAAGTCCAACCAGCTCTTTTTACAGACGAGGAAAGTGAGGCACAGAGGGCTGGATTCCCTTACCCAGTCCCTGGCACCTAACGAAGGATCTGAACCCAGATTTCCCTGGCTCTAAGTCCAATGCCCTGTCCTTTACATCAGGGGTACTAACCTGGGGTCTACAGACTGAAAAAAGAATAAATATTTGGATGACTGTATTTCAATATTACTAGTTTCTTTTATAAACCTATTTTATTTTATGCATTTAAAAATATGAGTATAGGGGCAGCTAGGGGGCACAGTGGATAGAGTACCGGCCCTGGAGTCAGGAGGACCTGAGTTCAAATCCGGCCTCTGACACATAACACTTACTAGCTATGGAACCCTGGGCAAGTCACTTAGCCTCAATTGCCTAGCCAAAAAAAAAAAATGAGTATAAAAAGTCAATAGGTTTCACCAAGTTTGTCAAAGGAATATGTGACACACACAAAAAAACTTAATTCAGGACAAAAAGCATTTGTTAAATGTACCTACTGTGTGCCAGAAGCAGTTGGGTGGTGCAGTTATGGAATGTCGGGCCTAGAGTCAGGAAGACCTGAGTTCAAATCCAGACACTTACTAGCTGTCTGTGACCCTGGGCAAGTAACTTCCCTCTGTTTGCCTCAGTTTCCTTATCTGTAAAATGAGCTGGAGAAGGGATTGGCAAACCAATCCAGCATCTCTGACAAGAAAACCCCAAATGGGGTCATGAAAACAACAGCGTGCCAGGATTGCAACAGAGCACACGGCCTCAGACCTCAGCAAAGGCCAGGCGTGAGGCACAGAGGGCACAGAGCTAGCCTCCCACCCGTGTTTGGGGCCCACGTGCTAAGAATGGCTTTGACATTCAAAATACAACACTTTATTTAAAAAGGTAAAAAGCATCCTTAGCTTACTGACCCCACAAAATCCAAGCCCTCTTCCTGGCGTGATGTGCGCAAAGGCCTAATTCTTTAATATTACTCAAATAATACTCCTTAAAAAAAGAAATAAAACTATGATTCTACGATGGAAGAAGAGGAGGAGGAAGACGACTGGGTTGGCAGTCAGAATAGCCGATCCTCAGATAGGGAGGACTGAGGAAGAGTATGAAGAGGACTGTGGCTCCAGAATCAGACAGTCTGGGTTCAAATCCTACCTCTCTATGTGACCCTGGACAAGTCACTTAACCACATTAGGTCTCAGTTTCCTCCTCTGTAAAATGAAGGGATTAGACCAGGTAGCTGCTGAGGTCCCTTTCAGCTCTAATGCTGTGGTATGAGACTGACTGTCAAAACAGCTCTGAATCTGGAGTCCAAAGACCTGGGTTCAAATTCTCACTTGGTTGCCATGAGGCAGAGGAAGTCAGCTACCTTGCTCTCAGGGATAGTCTGGGGAGTGTCGGGGTTGTGGGTGGGAGCTCCTGATGGACAGAGAACCACATTCAGAGGTTGGAGGCCTGAGTTAGCTTCCCAGCCCTGATACTAGCTGTGTGACCCACTCTCCGAGCCTCAGTTTCTTCATCTGTACAATGCAGATGATAAGCCTGGCACTGCTTCCTCTCAGGGTTGTGCTTAATCAGAAAATATTCTGCAAACTGTCAAGTGCTCTAAAAACGAGAGCAGCTATCCCTGCACATCCTCCTGGGAAGAGCTCCAGGGATGCAGCCAGGAAACCCTGCCCTCTTCCCCTCCTTTAGCAAGTGACTCTGGGACTCAGGGACCCAGGCTCCTGCTGCTGGCTTATCAAAGCCCTGGGATGGGAAATGTTGCAAATGCCAAGTGTCCGAGAAGGGCCCTCCATCAGAGCTGGGAGCAAACTTGGCACAGTGAAGCCCAGCCTTATCTGATCCAGCCAGCATTTATTAAAGCCCCGCAGGCTCAAGGGTCTGTTCTAGGTGCCATATAAAGAGCAGCCCTGAACCTCAAGGACTTACCTCCGGGAGGGAGGGTGTCAGAACTGGGAGGGGGCTTAGAACAGGGCATGTCAGGGCTGGGAGGGGGCTTGGAACAGGGGATGTCAGAGCTGGGAGAGGGTTTAGAACAGGGGATGTCAGGGCTGGGAGGGGGCTTAGAACAGGGCATGTCAGAGCTGGGAGAGGGTTTAGAACAGGGGATGTCAGGGCTGGGAGGGGGCTTAGAACAGGGCATGTCAGGGCTGGGAGAGGGTTTAGAACAGGGGATGTCAGGGCTGGAAGGGGGCTTGGAATAGGGGATGTCGGAGCTGGGAGAGGGCTTAGAACAGGGCATGTCAGGGCTGGGAGGGGGCTTAGAGACAGAGAAGGTCAGAGCTGGGAGAGGGTTTAGAACAGGGGATGTCAGGGCTGGGAGAGGGCTTAGAACAGGACATGTCAGAGCTGGGACTTTAGAACAGGGGATATCAGAGCTGGGAGGGGGCTTAGAACATAGAGTGTTAGAAGGGATCTCCCCCCCCTAACACTCTTCTGCTACTTCATAGAAACTGAGTCTTGGCCCATCCGCCTCAGAACCCTTGAGGCTCCCGAAGTCATTCTTCCTCCCAGGTCTTCTTTTGCCCTTGGCCTGGTGCATGGCCTCCCCACCAGTGCCTCCCTCCAGCTCAGCTTCCCTCCGTCACACCTGGACTCTCCACCCCTGTACCCAGCTCCTCTCCTCTCCCCTCCCCCATTAGAATGTAAGCACTCTGAGGGCAGGCATTGTCTTGTGTTTGCAGCCCCCCTGCACCTAGCTCCAGGCCTAGCTTTTCCCGGTTGCTTAATAAGAAGTTTATCCCTGTATTCTCTCTTCCTTGGCTTCTCTATCCCAGAGGATCCCACAAAGATGTCTCCCCCATCCCTCTGTTTTCCAACCCAAGAGAAGGGCAGGGGGTGGTGGGTGAGCCAGGTGGGCAGCCTTGCTTGCCAGGATGGGAGGGGCTGCCCCAGCTCAAGGGTGAGCTGCAGGGGAGGGAAGTCACCCAAGTCACCCCTGAAGCCCCCCAGAGTCAGCCCCCCACGCGGTGAATGGCCCAGAGATGCCAGTTCTATAGGAAGGCCAATGAATGATCTTGAGAAAGTCACCCGACACCTCTCGGCCTCAGCTTCCTCCTACCTAACATCCCACGGCCTCCCAAATGGGGCGCCCATTCCTCTGCCACCCAGCCGCCCCCTCCCCACTTCCCCACCTCTGGTCTTTGGTCCAGCCGTCTCCTGCACCCCATCTCTGACTACTGAGTTCCGTTCTATTCAGAGGTCACCTCCTGAAGAAACAGAACCTTCTCAGCAGCCACAGACCACTTTCTTCCTTCATCTCTGTGTTCCCAGCATGCAGCACAGTGCCTGGCACGGGCTTAGTGTATAATACATGCTCATTGACTGAGTAATCAACCTACTCTGACCCCTTCATTTTGTCAGTCAGGAAACAAAAGGAAGGTGACCTGCCCAAGGTCACCCAGACAAGTGGTAAGAACAGGACTTGAACCCAAGTCCTGACTCCAGGCACATTTAGGGTCTTCCTCACTACAGTAGTTGTGTCTGGTACTGTCCTCTCCATTTCAGTGACAATAATAACAATTACAATCATTATATTTTTATATTTATATATATATATATAATATACAATTATGTCTGTTTAACACAAAGGTTTGCAAAGTATTTTATGCATTTATTCAGTCTCAGATGAGTGAAACTGAGGCCCACTGAGATTAATTAAACCCAAGGTCATACAGCTAGTAGGTATCAAGGCTGGGAAGAGAATCTGTCCCAACTTCACTATCAGTCATTTTTCAATTAAACCAGATGGACTGTTTACTTTCTCCTGGAAAGCCTCTCCATTTTCTCCTCTGTACTGCCCCAGTACAGAGGCTCTGGTGGACTTTTTCGGGGAGGGGGGCGCCTATCTGCACTCTCTTGGGTATTAATTAGGCAGCTAGCAGGGCTCAGCTGGTGCACTTGACCCCAAGCCTTCCGCCCTCCAAGGCTGACCCTCCTCCTGGCCCTTTTTCTGTACCATGGTCTCTTTTGGCAGGCTGGTGAACCCCTGCTCAGAGTAAGTTTGTTTTTTTTTAATTCATAAAATGAGGAAATGCTAAATTCAAGTCAGAAGTTCATGAATAAATAGAAGTAATTTTAAAATTCCCCACCCAAGATTGCTGATCTCCTGAAAGTCCTCCCCAGGCTGCCCTCCTCAGGTTAAGAAGCCTGACCCTAATCAATGATCCGGTGTCCATCTCCCGTCATCCTGATCTGTATCTGGTCACTGGACCCATTTGACCCCAGCCCAGACCTCCCTCACTTAGATCCAGTTCACTCGAATGTCACAGTCCTCTTTGAGAATAAAGGACAAACACTAATCAATGACCGAAACTCAGGAGATAGCGATACCTGTGCTGAACTGAATCGCTCATAAATGATCTCTAATTAAAGAAGAATAGCTAAGCTTTTCTTGGGAGGCACCAGTGCCTTTCACTCTGTCCTCTATCCAGGAGAGGACCAGACAGCATGAGGCACCTCCCAACGGTGACCCAGTTCAGGGCAGTGGAATTTAGGAGGCTGGGAATGGGGTGGCGCCTGGTGTGGGGTTCAACAAGTCTGCTTGAGATTCTGGATTTGGAACAGGGAGCCGAAAAATGAGGACAAGCTCTGTTTGTAGGGAGCAGGGGACAAAGGAATGCCAGGCCGCAGGAACAGGCCTGGGGTGAAGAGCAGGAGAGATCACGCAGTCAGTGAATGAATGCGCATTTATTAAGCACCTACTATGTGCCAGGCGAAGCACTCAGGATGTGAAGAAAGGCAAAAGGCAGTCTTTGCCTAGAAAGGACCTCAGGGACGCTCTAATCCAACCTTTCCATTTTATGGAGGAAACTGAAGCCCCTGTTCCGCCCCTCCGCCCAGAGATCTTTAGAGCTGTTCTGATTCTCCCCAGCTTGCCTCTCTCTACTTATCCCTCCCCTTCCATTCCTGCCAAACTGGGCCCAGATCTGCCTTTCATCTCCCACTCCTGGGTTTTTGTAAAGGTGGTGCCCTCCATGCCTGGAAACTGCTCTCTCCACTTCAGCTCCCATAAAGGCTCAGCTTAGGTGAGGCCCTTGATTCTCAGTGTAAACGTGTCAACTCCCCCACCCATAAAATGCAAGAGCCCGGAAGGCAGGCAGGCAGGCAGACCACGTTCTGGCTTGGCTTTGATTTCCCCAGAATTTAGCCTCCTCCCTTACATGCAGAAAGCATTTCTTAGCAAAGCTGTGCTGGGTGGGCCCCTGTTCCACAGCCCATCCGTAGCTGTGAACCCGAGTTAACCTCACTGCTTCCTCATCTGGAAAGCGGGGGTGCGTGTGAGAAAAGCTCTTCGATGCACTTGGGATGCTTCCTCGATGTGTGGGTTGCTACTGCTGCCGCCTGAGCCCTTCCGCACAACAGGCTGGCTCAGGCCTCCAGGGCCCTACGTGAACAAGGCGGGGGGGGGGGGGGGGGGGGGGGGGGGGGAAATGCCCTTTGCATCTGGAGAAGGGTCGCCCTGTGCAGCTGCCAAGTCACGCGTCCTGGGTTCTGATATGGCCCTGCCTTGACTTGGGGTGTCCAGACCCTGGGCGTCTCGAGCCCATTTCCCCCTCCTTAAGGGAGGGAGCTAGAGTTGAAACCTCTGGCTTCCTCCCTAGGGACAGGCTTGATGCCCAGCCTTCCTCCAGCCTGTGCCAGGCAGAGTGGAGCAGAGCCGGGCCCCCTCCTACACAGGGCGGTGCCAAGGAACCTTTCTCAGGCCTCTGGCAGATGGCCCCAAGCCTGTCCCTCTGGGCACAGCCCGGGCCTGCTGGCCACCCCTCCTAGAGCTGGCAGAATTTCAGAGGCATCTGGTCTGACCCTCTTCATTCTACAGGGAGGGAAACTGAGGCCAAGAGGGGCTTAGTCATGACACACTGAGTTGGATGGAGAACTTAACACAAGTCCTTTTCTGGGTGGAAAGGGCTGAGGGATATAGCAGAACAAAAGAAAGTCTAACTACTGAAGACCCTGCTGCCCGGACACAATTTTTGCCGGAATCGGAGGTTTCCAGCTGATAGCGCAGTGGTGGGAGCCGGCTGGTGCAACGGGGAGCACACTGGGCCTGGAATAAGAACCAAGTTCAAATTCCCCCTCAGAAACTCCTTGGCTGTGTGAGGCTGGGTAAGTCATTTAATTGTTGCTTGCCTCAGTTTCCCTCATTGTAAAAAGGAGCGAATATCACCTACTTGCCAGGGTTGTCAGGAGAATCAGAGACAGTATTTTCAAAAGGTGCCCAGCACAGTCCCTGGCTCACAGTAGGTGCTTAATAAATGCTTATTTCCTTCCCCAAATGTTTAGCGCTCAGGACAGGGGGCTAAGAGTGGGGAGATGCAGTTGAATACAGCGATCTTTAATGAAACAACATTAAAGCTAATCGACACTTGCAGAGCACTTTACAATCCCACAGCACTGGTGACGTGGCCAGCAAGGCATTTGGAGCCAGTAGACCTGGGTTCCAATCCTGCTGCAGACAGGTCCTTGCTGTATGCCCCTTTGAACTTAACCTCCCCTCTGAGCCTGGCTTCTTGTCTCTGAGGCGGAGGGGTTGGGCTGCAATCGCTTCTGAGGGCATCCTTGGCTAACTTAGGAGGCCTAGGTCCGAATCTGAGCTGTGACCGTGGGTGACCGAACCTTCCCTCCTCTGAGCCTCACTTTCCTAATCTGCTAAATGGGAAGGCCAGCCTTCCCAGTCTCACAGTAAACTTTCAGTGTGTGGGCGTGACCCTTCTCTCCAGCCTTGTGTGTACACAGCCCTGACCTAGGAGCCAGAGCTGCAGTGACTCAGAAAAGACCAACCCTCCACTTCCAAGCCATGGCTGGGGCTCTGGGGCCAAACACCGGACCCCAAGGACCCAGCACACAGCGGCCCTGCTCCTGGAGCAGGTGACCCCAGAGGGCCCTCCTGGCTCAAACATCCTGCAGCCGTGCTGGGCAGGAATCCCTCTGTCCTATCCTGTCGGGACATCCTCACTACAGAAACAGGACAGAAAGGTGTCCAAGGCACCCTCTGCTGCCAAGGGCTTTGGGGGGCACGTCCTACGGGCAGGGCACCCAACCCTCCGTGTCTACCCTGCTGGAGGCACCACAATTCTTTCCTTACCGCATCCTGTGAGCCACCTACTTTATTTTCCCCTCCAGGCAACTGGGGTTAAATGACTTGCCCAGGGTCACACGGTTAGTTAAGTGTCAAGCGTTTTGGTCTGAGGCCAGACTTGAACTCAGTTCCTCCTGACTCCAGGGCTGGTGCTCTATCCACTGTGCCACCTAGCTGGCCCCAAGCCATGTACTGTCAACGGCTCAGATCTTGGCTGGATAAAAGCACGCCTACCTCCATTTCACAAATGAGGAAAGAAGGCTGGGAGGGGAAAGGCCAGCGTGAGACCACAAGGCTGGCAGACCGCAGAGCCAGGGTCCAGACTGTACACCCTAAGGCAGCCGTCTGACAGCAACACCACCAATCACAAGCCAAACCTTATCAGCTACAGAGGGTACAAGGTGACCACCTGACCATGCCAGCAAGGCTCAGGTCACAACGTCAGGGTGAGGTGCAGGACTATAAAGTCTGCTGGGTCTGGGTTCAAAACCCGGCCCTATCTCTTCTGGCTTATTCCCTACGGGTCTCAAATTTCTCATCTGTGAATGATGGAGCCCCCAGACGACCGCTGAGGTCCTTCTCTAACTCTCTCCCTGTCATCACTGGGGCCATGGCTGCTAATGCTCCCCTTTGGGGCACGCTTGGTCCCTGGGGGGTGGCTCAGGACTCTGATGGGGAGAGGGTCCCAACTACAGGCTTCCGGCCTTCAGACGCGTTTCCCCCCACCAGTGGCTCATCAGGGAAGAAGAGCAGAACCCGACTGAGGCTCCTGGCAGCCGAGTGTAGAAGGTCCGTCCTCTGCCCGAGGCGGCCAGAACTGAGGAAGAGGATCGTGGGGGCAGGCTTCTCCAACAAAGACTGAAAAAAATCTCACTCCAAGAGGAAGATCTCTTCCTGGGATTTATTGAAATGTTCGACCCCAGCAAGGAAGGCCTGCTGGTCTGGACACTACAAGACGGAAAACGTGTTCTGCTGCCTGGTCATCTGTCCGCAGGAATTCTGGATAAATGTGGTGAGAGACGGTACACGCTCAGGGTCTCTGGCCCATCTTCTTTAGGGTTCGATTGAGCTAGAAGGGAGGAGAGAAGGCAATGTCTGAGCCCACCACATGTCACCAGGGAGGCCTCTCAGGGCCCCTGCTTCCTCTAGGAGGAGGGAGGGGGTTGCTCATGGTTCTGGCGGCTGAGACCCCTGGTGCAAAGAGTCCCAGAGGCCACTGCAGAACCCCACCCATCCCAGGCCTACGTGGACAGCCATCTCCCTGGCACCAGGAAGCACTTCCAAGTCTGTACAAGAGGGAGCAAGGAAAGGGACCAGACCTGTCTGGTCTAAGGAGGCCACTGTGACACGGAGCAGCCGTGTGAGGAGGGCTCATGGATTTGGAAGGCCACCGCCTATTGCCCGAGTCCTCCTGAAAGGCTTCTGTGAGAAGGAAGGAAGGAAGGTGAGGAGCCCCCTCCGCCCGGGCCCTCCCGGGGGCCGCCCAGTGGATGCCAGCCGGGCCTCTTACCTCCTCAAATTTATGGATCTGCCGAATGAAGAAGTCTCCGTAGCGGCGGGCCACCTTGGTATCGGCAATGTGGATCATGTCCTGGGGAAGGCAGCGAGGGGGAGGCATGGGGGCCCAGCATTCGGAGCCAGGGGCCTGTGTCTAGGCCCCCGATGACACTGTTAACTCCCTGGCCCACCCAGCCGAGGCCAGGCCAGCCTTCCTGTGCAAGTGAAGAAGTCTCGCCACGGCAGGAGGCTCAGCAGCCTTGCAGATCCCTCCCCCAGGGCCGGGCCCACCTCCCTCCATTCTGAAGGCCTGTGCCCTTCTCTCAAATGATCCTCCCACACAGGCGATAATCGCCTCCCCGTCATAGTGGACCTCTGGGTTCAGCTATCAGGTCCTTGTGTGGCACTCGGGACTGGCCCCGCCCCCACCCACCTTGTCGATGTAGAAGTCCACCTCGGAGGCCGACTGGAACTCGCCGTCCAGGGCCGAGATGCCGCTCGTCCACACCAGGTTCTTCATCTTGTGCTTGAAGACCAACAGCTGGATGCGGAACTCCTGCTCGGTGAGGTCCAGGAAGCCGGCCAGCTTGGCCACGGGCATGGTGGTGTAGAGCTTGAGGAAGCTGCGGATGGTGGAGAGCTGGGCCTGCTGCTGCACCTCGTCCGCGAACACCTTCAGCTGCTGCAGGAAGGGCTCCTTGTGGTAGTTGGGGTGCACGCTGTCGTAGTTGGGCACCACGGGGCTCAGGAACTTGGGGCAGGAGTAGCTGAAGAGCTCCTCGTAGACCTGCGGGTCGCCCTTCTGCATGCGCAGCATCTTGTCCCCGTACTTCTCCCGCAGCTGCAGGTGGATGCTCTCGTCGATGCGCATGGGGTACATGGTCAGGGCGATGGCCAGCAGGGCGTGCATCTGCTCGTTCTGCTTGTTGATCTGGCGGACAGGGGGGGGCGGGGGGTCAGGAAGGCCGGCCCGCACAGGACACGGGAGGGCCCCCGGCCTGGCCCCCACTCACCATCTCGTATTTGTACGTCGTCCTCTGGAACATGCTCTTGGTCCTCTGGATGTAGAGCAGGATGTTGGCAAAGACGCGGATGGCGTCCTGGTACCGGCGCATCATCAGATAGGCGAAGCCCACATAGTAATAGGTGGTGACCTGGCACTCGGGGACCCGCGAATACATGCTCTAGAAGAGAGCGGGCGGCTGTGAGTGACTATGGCCCAGAAAGGCCCTGCCCGCAGCCCTGGGGTCACGAGGTATGGGGCGGCTGTGAGTGACTGTGGCCCAGAAGGGCCCTGCCTGTAGTCCGGGGGGGTGTGAGCTGCAGCCTCCCTCCCTCTTTTCCTCCCGGTCCTCTCTGGAGACCCAAACTCAGTCACAAAATTTCCTGAACCCAACCCTGGAGAAACTGCTTCCCAACTCCAGCCACACCTGCCCAGCCTGTTTTAAACTTTGCTCTTGTCTCCCCCATCAAAGACAAGTGTTCAAAGTCCCCAAAAGAAGAAACACGGCAGACAGATACAGGCTGAGAGATGCAAGGAGCTTCTTTTCACCTGCGTTAACCAGTTCACACAGGCTGTGACTCCTGGCCGGCCGAACCGACCTTTTCAAACCCTGAGGATTCACTAGGAACCAGGGCCCTTGTGCTCAGCAGTGCACAAGTAGACACAGGCCAAGGCAATGGGGGCAACTGGCCTGTGTCATGAAGCCTGAGCTCTAGTCCCCACTAGCCAGCAGGCCAAGTATCTTCAGCTGTCTAAGCCTGTCTGCTCATCTGTAAAATGGGCCTTTGTTCACCAACTTCACAGAGGACTCAGGGATGAACAAATCAGGGCCCACACTGCTCCTGAGCTGAACGGACGATCACCACCAGCTACTCCTACCATTTCGAAACATTCTGCTTGGGAAGAGGAAGGCAAGAGCTACGGAACTCACTGACCGACTGACTAGCCGCTAAAGCTTACAGCAGCCCCAAGACTCTCGGGTCCTCCGCGCTCTTCGTGAACGAAAGACGGCCCCAGGAGACCAGAGGACGCTCCCTCTCTGCCCAGCCCGTCGCCTCTCCCAGCTCCAGCTCTGCCTGGCCACGCTCTCCCCCCAACAGGGGCCCCTCTCAGAAGTGTCCACCCCCGGGGGGCAGGGGGGCATCACCTTTTTGTTAAGCTCGATGTTCTCCAGCACCTTGATGGCCTGGTAGTAATCCCCCAAGAGGGAGTGCAGCCGGAGCAGCCCCACCAGGCTGAAGTAGCCGAGCATCTTGTAGAGGGAGTGCCGACCGTACTCGCCAGCCACACTCTCGGGGTCACCTGGACAGGGGAGAAATGGCGCCTTCTCTTAGCACCTGCCCGTGCCCCAGCCACTGATGCGGGGGAGCCCGAGGCCTGGTTGGGCAGCGCGGGTCCTGCAGGAAGATCACAGAACCCGCTTCAAATGTAACTGGAAAATGGTTGACAGGGGAAGTCCGCCACAGGGAGGACATTAGCTTGGGGCGCTCTAGAACATTACGCGGCCTGCAGGGGACCTGAGTGAGGTCTATACCATTGGGCAAGGGGTGAGGAGCCCTGGACCGTTGCAGAGTCAGGCCACTGAAACCCAAAGGATCCTGAAGACACATGAAGGGCACCACTGAGTGTTAGCCAGACCCCTTTTTGGGAGCTGCCCTCCCCCCACCCCAGCTCAGGAAGGAGCCCTGGGTGGGTGGGTGGGGTCACATTCTGCAAGGAGACACCTAACCAGGGAGCAGAAGAACACGGCAGCCCCAGTGTCACCGCGGGCACCAATGCCCCGCACGCTCAGGTGACGGGTGACCCAACGAGCCTTCATCCTCGCATCCGTGCGAGCGGAGCCTCAGGGGCTGCGCTCACCTCCGCTGGTGTAGACCTCCAGCTGCCGGTTGATATTGGACTTGTCTACCAGAGAGTGTAGCACGTTCAGGACGCTGTGGACGTTCCAGATCTTGGGGTTGGAACGCAGAAAGTCGATCTCTTCTTCTGACTTCTTGGCCGTCTTGCATCGGTATTGGCTGAATGACTGAAACTACAGGGAGAGAGAATCCAAAGGGCGAATCACCCGAGAGACCCCGCTTACAATGCGGGGAGGAGCACGGCTGCCCCGTCAACCGAAGTGCCTCCGCGCTCCTGGAGAGCGATCACAAAGGCACCTGCAGCCGTCTGGGCCTTTTCTGCTGCCACCATGACTGACTGCTAATGCTGTTTCCTAGGCTGCTAACCTGGGTTCATCTGTCTGCTCTTTCGCTATTTAAAAAAAAGATTCCTGAGTCAAAAATTAAGTGGCGGACCTTCACTGAATATTTTGTAATTGTCCAACAAGACGGATTTTGGTTAAATTTCTTAAGCTCCTGGAATACACGGTTCCCACGAAAAGCCACCAGACCCACCAGCTGAACCGTCAAAGGGACATCAGCAAACTCGTGTCTGCCACCAGCCGAGCTCCTAGAGGATGAGGGAGCTTCGGCTCTCCAAGAGAAAGCTGCCAGATAAAGCTGAGCCCCTAGCTCGCTCTAAGGAGGATAAAAGTGGCCGATCCTCTTACAATCCCGTAGACACATTAGCCAATTAAATTTGCAACCAGGATGACATCTGGCAAGAGGGAGCACACACAAACCGACACGAGGGAAACAGGCTGTGAGCCCCTCTGAGGCCCTGTCTTTAGGCTCCGCGGCCTAGCTGCCCTCTGGGCTGACGTACGTGTCCTTTTGAGTGAAGCGCGTAACTTTCAACTGTCCGATGAGAAGATGCGTCGCTGCCTGAGTGGCAGCTGGAGCAGAGAAGTGACTGATCACACACACACACACACAAAGTCTGGAGTCTATGTTCCAAAGGCCCCTGGGTTCCTTCAGCTGGTTCCTCAGCCATGGCTCAGTGGAGAGAACCCTGTGCTGGTAACCAGCTACTGGGATGTGACCCCTAGCTCTGCTCCTTTAAGGGGATCACCTAACCTCTCTAGGCCTGTTCTCTTCTTTGTAAAAGAAGAGAAAAAAATGGAATATGGGGGTTGTACTAGACAAGGGCCTTGAAGGTCCTACCCAGTGGCTCTAAGTCCTAAAGGTAAATGGTGCCAGAACTTCAGGAGTCATAATGTTCCACGTGAGAGCTGTCCAGCTCCCTGAAGGGCACAGATATACTCCTGTATATACCCCACCCATCTTAACCTTATTACAGGAAAAGCTGGGGGAGGGGGGGGGGATGGTATCTACCAGGACAAAGCCTGCTTTGGGCTCCAGCTTTCAACAGTATCTGAGAGACTTTGGACGCTCTGGGCCTCAGTCCGCTCACGTGGACACAGACCAGACTGGCTTTGGGGCAGGCCCTTGCAGCCTCTAACCCAGAGGGCTCATGGCATGCTTGCTGCGGCCCACTACTGTCAACCTTGTACCACAGCTGTGGACAAGAGAAGGGGCCGTCCCTCCTCCTCGTCCCCATTCAAACAGGCTCTGATCTGATCATGTCACAATCTGGACCCCAGCTCCTTCACTTACTGACCGTACGACTCTGGGGAACCTCAGCTGTAAAATCAGGACGACTTCCCTAAATCCCCCAGAGCTGTCCTAAGGTTCAGAAGAGGTCATGGGTGTCAAGTATAAAGTGTCAATCACCGTGAGCATCATGGAAGATGTCCATGTGACCCCTGCTCCCCCACCTATGAACTGGGGGTGATACCCGCCTGACATCCCTCCCAGGGCTGCCGTGGGCTCCCCCAAAGTTATAACAACCCATCATTTCAGACAGCCCCCCCAACACGGCAGAAGATCAAGCTTCTCACTGCTCCAGCTGTCCTGACAGAACTAGGGACAGGGCTGGGGGGGAAGAGGGGGGTGCTCTCCCCCAGCAGGGTACCTGGTAGATGAATTCATCGATGATATCCCACAGCCACTGGTTGGGCAGCTCGAGGGGGGCAGGGCCATCGGCATCTGCAGAGGACAGACAGCAGCAATGTCATTTAAAATGGAGGGAGACCAGGCACCGACCTGCCGTACTCCTTGAGGCTGGGGAACACCTGGGGAAAGGGGGGCTCACTACCCAGAGACTTGAACGGTTATCAAATCCATCATCATAATAAAGTTAATTAATGACAAGTTAGTCCTAGTCCTCGCACACTAATCACGACATGAAACAACCTGCTGGAAAGAGCTGGAGCCCAAGCCCCCGCCCTCCCAGAGCCCTCCTGGGGAGGCCTCTGACTCACTGAGGATGTAGTTGAAAAGGTTGCAGTAATTGTAGTAGGATTCAAACCTCTGTTCCAAGGAAGGCCCACCCTGGAAAGATAACGAGAGGATCCAGACTTAACTGATGGCGAACAAAGGCTCTGTTGGAGAAAAAGCTGATACCAAGCACCCCACCCAGAATGAGAAGGGCATCACTGGTGGAGCACAGAAGGAGCAGCTCAATGGAGGTGAAAGCGAGGAGGGGACTGGCAGAAGCAGAGGTCTGGGGGACTTTGGAGAATGTGGGCAGCTGGATGAAGGGGCGGCAGCAGCAGTCACCCATAGGAGGGCACGGCGAGGCTCAGCAGCTCCGCCATGCCGCTGCCCGGCCAGGCCCGTTAACACTTCTGGATGGGATCATTCCCCAGGAGAACATGTCTCCAGCATCTCACAAAATGTCACCTAGCCCCTCCGGCTGAGTCAGGCCAATAGCAGGAGCCCAGACCCAGGAGGGGGACCCGTGGCTGCTGCCACAGAAACCAAAGTGGTTTGTGGCAAGATTTATCAGAAGAGGAAGCCATAAGCAGGAGGCCCACAACAGATACTCACACTGACTTTGGCATAGATGTGTCTGTAATAAAGCTCCTTATACAGGATCAGGAAGACGGCATCTAGGAGAGAGGGCAGAGGCCAGTGAGCTCCCTGGAACCCTGAGGGGGAGCCCTGCTTCTGGGAGCACACCCGAGAACACAGCAACCCCCCATGCCAAACTCAACATGACGCCACCAGAACTGCAGAGGACCTGAGAGGAGCGAGCTCCCCCATTTAGAGCAGAGGAGTTGGGGAGAGAGAGGGAGATGTGTGTTGACTCCATATCCTGGGACTTTTCCAAAGTGACTCAATGACAGTCACACGGGATGGGACGGTACGACTGTGCCAGTGACTAAAGTCAGACTGCGACTGGGCATGCTGACGCCCCGTCAGTGACCATCATTATAGCGAAAGGGGATCAGAGGAAGTGGCCGCTCTCCACTGTTACCACTCCTTTGTAGGAGGCTGAACCTCTCCAGAACCTAAGAGCTCTCAATGTCCTTTTTATGAGGTCCCAAGGCTGCCATTTCACCTGTAACCGCCCGAAGTTTTCCTTGTAGCAGGGAATTCAGCAGCAACTTCTGCTAATTTAATTCCAGATGATTAACTGGTTACAAGCAAAGGACTTTCTGGCTCAGCGCTAAGCTAACCAGTTGCTAGGAGCTGCAGATTCCAGACCAGCTCCTGTGTTTGGGGGGCAGTTCACACCTTGCCCTGACCTGTTCTCCTGGCAGCATCTGACACACAAACACCCTTCCTTTCCGTTAGCCTGCCCTTTATGTTGTCTCTGGAGGCCACTTAGAAACCGAGTCCATGCTCTGAGCACATGTAATGCAGGCCACTTTCTAAGAGGCTTCTGCGTGGCTAAGTATGACTGGCAGCAGTAGCTAGCAAGCAGCCCTTGGGGATCTCTCTCTACCAACCTGACAGACCATGAAGACACAACCAATAGGCTGCAAAGATGGCTCCCAGCTCAGAAACTCTCCTCTGGTGTGTACCCAGGGAGACTTCTGGCAAGGAAAAGTTGCCGCACCCCCTAAAAAGTCCCAGAGACAAAGGTTAGCGCTCTTTGGCTATTTCATCTCACCCCCTCCCCAAGATTCTCATCCAGGAGGAAAAGGAGCAGGGCCCCAGGCAGCCCCTTCACAAGCCCACCAAGCCTACCGTTGCCAACTTGTGGGGCAATGGCCTCCGCTTCTGGCCAGGGGGTATTCTTGAAGAACCTTTCAGTTAGCTTGGTCCAGCTAAAGGAGAGAGAGTGAGATCAGGCAGGAAAATCTGCACCAAAGAAGAAAAAGTCCATATCCTGCGTTTGTAGTCCCTATCTGTCGAAGACTATTTATTCATACCCAAGCAGTCCCTCTTTGGGAGATTCCAGTGGGCAGTTTCTTCTAGTTTAATGAAACCACCTCTGCCCCAGGCACATCCATCTGTACTTTCATGAAACAAGACAAAACTCCCAATAAAACACGGGCACCAAGCTCTGTCTTAGGGTTTTTCATTTACTTTAAACAGAAACGTGCCTCCAAAGTCAAGAAATTCCTGGGGAAACCTCTTCCTAAAATCATCCAATGGGATCACAGATGGCCCAAGAGAGCCAGCTCCTACCAGGACTAGTCCAAAGACCTTCCTGCTTGGTTTGACCACCACTCCCATCTTAGGCCCAGGCAACAGGAACCCTTAGAGAACTTGGGTGAAAAAGTGACCAGGTCTTGGCCTCAAGTTAAGACCTTGTCTCCTTGGCTTAACAATTGTTTTCGGGGGAGACCAAGGATTTCCAACCAGGGAGCCGTCAATGTCATTTCTTAAACATTTCTCAAAAGACAAAAGGAGATTTCTGTGGCCCACCTGCTGCCTGTTTACCTGCTTCTCCGCTGCTGCTGTGCTCTCTTCTTGTCCCCCCTCCCCAAGTCCAATCTGCTGCCAAAAGTTGTTATTTCTACTTTCCTAGTCCCTCACGTTTGAGCCCTTCTCTGTCCTCACAAGGCACCACCTTGGGCCAGGCTCTCATTGCCTCCCACCTGGATCATTCCCAGAGTCTCCTAGTGGGTCTTTGTGCCTCAACTCTCTCCCTAATCCAGTCTGTCAGACAGGCTACCATGGCTCCTATTCCTTAAGTGCCGAGCTAGCCCTGGGAGTCCTCTATCATCTCTAGTGACTTCTGATTTAACCTCTAGAATAAAATGTAAACGCCAACCCACGTCCAGCCTCCACGGCCTTTACTTCTCTTGTCAAACTGGCTTCACCCTTGGAACTGTCCCTCTCTAGTCACTGGGCCTTTACGCTGGCTGAGCCCATGCCTTCCTCCTTCCCTGTACCTCAGAGGTCCAGCTCAACATCACCTTCCGCACAAAGCTACTGCTGATTCCCGACCACCAGCGTCCTCTCTCAACTACCCTGTGCGTAAGTGTTCTGCGTACACTTGTATCTACTAATGTCATGTTTGTGATTGGTGTTTAGTAGCGTCTGATTCTCTGACTCCATTTGGGGTTTTCTTGGCAAAGATAATGGAGTCGTTTGTTGTTTCTTTCTCCAGCTCATTTAACAATTGAGGCAAACAGTTAAATGATCTGCCCAGGGTCATACAGCTACTAAGTGTCTGAGGCCAGATTTGAACTCGGGAAGATGAGTCTTCCTGTCTCCAGGCCCAGCGCTTTAGCCACTACAACACCACCCAGTTGTCCACATATCTATGTGTACATACACAGGCACGTGCTTGCACACCTAAACGCGCCTGCACACCCACATATTTGTGGTCTCCCCATTAGGATGTAAACCCTTTGAAAGAATGGAGTATTTCACTTTTGTACTTGTATGTGGAATGCCTAGCAGTGCCCTGCACACAGCAGGCACTTAATAAATGCAGGCTGATATACCTCCATAGCACAACACACTTGAGTACTTATTCCTAAGAATAACAGCTGATCTCCCACTAGAATTTAGGGCTATTTAGAGACCATCTAGCTGGACTCTTTCTAAGGTCCAGAGTGGTCAGAAGCCACACCCAGCACTCTGGTTTATGAAGACTAAACCAAATGGAACGGGAAAGGCTGGGAAGCTGCTGGACCATGCCAACCATCCAGCAGTTTGAGGGAAGGAGCAAATTCATCAGGAAAATGAGGGCAGATCAGATCCTTCCCAGGGACACCGAAAGGAAAGTGCCCTACACATCCCAGAGCAGGAGAGAAAGAGGAGCAGCCCAAGGAAGGACCCCTCGTGACCACCCTCACCTGTTCTCATAAATTTCCTGGATCTCATAGACTTTCTGGTCAACGACATCAGTGGGCACCCGGCTTGCCTGAAGCTCATAAACTTTCTGGTCAATAAGGTCGGAGACGGTTTTATGGAAATACTGGATAAAGTTCTTGATCATTTCTGGAATCACTTGATAGGTCTGCTGCTCATACTGGCGTTCATAGGCCAGGTCCTGCTTCGGGTCTCCTACAGGTTAGAGGGATGAAGAGACAGAAGAAAAAGAGTTTGACCGTGGATCGCTCTTAATCACCACAGAGCAAAAGCAGTCTGAGAATCCCCAGCATCTAGGGAAATACTGTAAGCAAGGGTTTAGAGTGAGGCCAAAATATAAAAGTAACTGATGGGGTGACAGGACCTAGATGTCTAAAAAGAAAAGACCAGCCCAGCCCCTGAACTTTCCCACACAAGCTTCTCACCTGAGGTATCTGGCCCATCCCAGCCTACCTAGATACTCAATCATCCTTTTAACTGTCCCTTCACTGTGGCTCCCTGACCCAGCTAAGACCACTTAACTCCTTTCACTGTTTGCACCTGGCCCACCCCAGGTCATTTACCTCTCCTTAATCCCATCCAGATCTTTTCCACTGACTCTCCTCCCCATCAGTTCCATTCCCAACAAGTCACTTCTTTTGGCATCACAAATAAACCTTGCCTCTCTGATTGAAAGAAAGCTTGACTGGTCAAATTCCTTCAAGGCAGACCCCTGAACCCTTACATTTCAGGGTTCTGGCACCCCAAACTGCAAGAGTAACCAGCATTTATGTGACTTAGGTGCAGCACTTTCAATACCAAGACTTTCACATAAACCCCACGAATCATCCTAAACAAACTGCACCAAGGGTTTTATAGCTTCTGTCACCACAGGAAATCACATAAACGGATTTGTGGATTATCCCTCCATCAACAGACAAGGACTGATCCAAACATCTGGTCATCTGGCAGTGGAATTACAAACATAAAAGAAAGAAACAATCAACAGTCTGAAGAAGCGTCTATCTTCTCCACTCGCCTGCTGCTCCTTGGGGACAACGTCAGCTACCCCAGCACAGCGGAGACTTCAATCTCCAGTGAAAACTGAGCAGATGCTTTTTGGTGACCGTGGAATGAGCAGGTAGAAACATAGTTTCCTGGACCCTCTGAGGCCATGCTGTCTGAAGGCTGACACCCCCAAAGACAGCAACTAATTGGTTTAGGCAGACGATGCCCGGCTGAAGCTGGTGCTGCTGGGTGTGGGACTGGGGTACTCAATGCCCTGCAGATGGAACAGGAGTGCATGTGCACAATGCTCACCTGTGTGCATGTCATAGTCGCCTGGGTAAGCATAGGGATCATATGCAACCTAGAGGAAGAGAAAGAAGAGCAACTCTTTCATTCACAGCCCCAACGTCTACAAAGCCAGAACCCTCCCAACAACTGTCTTCAGTTGAAAGCAGAAGCAACCAAAAGCTAGGTGGACGGATTAAGTTGCCCAAAATGAAAGGCCTCGGGTCCTGGGACCACAAGGCCGGTGCTCCTTCTATCATAGGCAGCGGGAGTTACGAGGACAGAGAACTCAGGCAGTAACCCAGCTCTGGGGCAGCGCAGCATGGATGGAGGGGGGAGGGTAAGGGAAGGAAAGGGATTAAGTAGGGGATGGGACATGGAGCTGAATGGGGAAAGGGAGGGAGAAGAGAGCAAAGGGAAGATGAGGGAGGCAAAGTAAAGAAAGGAAGGGAGACGGATAGGCAGAGGGAAAGGCTGGACAAGGACAAGGGAGAGGTGCTGAAAGGGGAAAGGAAGAGAGAAACGGTAGAAAGAAAGTAAAGGGTATAATTCAATACATCCTTATTGAAAAAGAGAAAACTAAAGCCCTGCCCTCCAAGAGCTCACCATCCGCTGTGGGGGGAGGGGATAACAAGCACAACACAGAGCACACGGTGTAAAAAGGAAGCCAGGAACAAACTGTCCTAAAATATCTTAAGGAGAGAACGTTTTCAACTTGGGGGAAGAGGAACTGAAGACGCGATCAGGCTCCCTAGGACGGTAAGACGCCTGGCCTCGGGTCACCCTTTGGCCAGGGGAAACCCTGGACCCTTCTCCAACAGGGCCATGACCCCCAGGGGCCTTTCTGAGCCCTCCCCAGCGCCCTCGACCCCTTCCTTTTGAGATCCCCTCCCCCTTGTCCCGTCTGCATCTGCTCGCCGTCTCCCCACTGGAATGGGAGCTCCTGGAGGGCAGGCCCGCTCTGGCCTTTCTTTGCACCCCCAATGTCTGGTGCAATAACTGGCATACGCAGCCAAGATGACAGCCGATAAAACGAGGGGGCTTTGTTTTTAAGGGGAGAAAGAAGGGAAGGAGAGAACAGAAAAGACGGATAGAAAGAGAGCGGGGACGCCACGGAAGAGAAGCAAAAAGGCGGGGGGGGGACGAGAAAAGAAAGAGGGAGAGGGGGAAGGAGTATGGGGTAGAAGGAGGAGAGGATGGAGGAGGAGGAGGGCAGATGGAAGAGATAGGGGGCGGAGAGGAAAGAGTGGGGGAGGGGCGGAGGCGAAAAAGCAAGAGAAGGCGAGACGGAGGGTCCCGCCGGGACACCTCACCGCACGCCCACCCCCTGAGCCCTTCAAGGGGGCTGACCTCGACCCGGGGAGCAGAGCCTCCGTTACCTCGTTGTCATAATCCTCAATCGGATAGGACATGGCGGCAGATCAGCCTCTCGGCTCAGAGAAGGAGCGAGCAATTGTGCGACGAGCGCCGGCCGCCCGAGCCTGCGCAGTATTCCCGGAAGCTGAACTGACGCAAGCACACTTCCGGGAAATTCGGCCGCTAGAGTCCGCCATGTTGGGAATGGCGGAAGTGGATCGTTTTTACTTTTTTTTTCCCCTCCCCTAGCTTCCCACTGGTGAAGACATGAGATATAGTGATATTGCCTTCTTGGTGTTTGTATCGGCAAAAGCTCAAGAACTAATGGCTATTCAACGCAAGAAAACCCTTACATGCCACACCCAATATGGAGGTTCCTCCAAGCCGATCTCCCCGTTCCAGCGTGTTAGTAAACCCAGACGGAGGGCGCCTGAAAAGTGTGTTTAGGTGTTTAAGCTACGCCTGCTTCTATCTAAGGTGAGCCAGACCCAAATAAGGCCAACGGATTGAATTAAGTGCTTGGAAGAGCCTTATGGCTCTTGTTTATCCCTTTCAATGAGCAGAGTGCAGAGACGAGTTTCTAGCCCTTCCCTCGGTGGACTTTGAGATTGGAGCAGGCGATGGCCACGCACAGCCCCGGGAGCAGGGGCCATTGGAGCGCCTACGTCAACGTCGAGGGGCGGGGCGGGGCAGAAAGGCGTTGATGATGCTTGTGCCCTGCACTAGCATCTGGGCAGAATCCCCAAGCTTTAGCGCCTTTTCTCAGCCTGTGAAGAGAGGGGCCTTATCCCTTAGGAGACTAGTCTGAGAGAGATGTAACAAGATGCTTTGGGGAAAGGGAGTCTTGGTCCTTGGGAGTCTGCCTTGAACTACATGTCCCACAATGCTTTGGGGCCAGGGAGGCCTACGCCTCACACAGGGTTGGGGAACCTGCAACCTCGAGGCCACATCTGGGTTCTCCAGTACGGCCTGTTGACCGAATCCAAACTTCACAGAACAAATTCTCAAGCACGGGCCGCACTGGAGGACCTAGAAGGCCACATGTGGCCTCCAGGCAGCGGGTTCCCCCCCATATATCCCATAATGCTTCAGGGCTAGGGAAGGCGAGGCAGGCAATATATCCCATGATGCTTACGTATGTGGTGGGGGAGGGAGGCGTGCGTGCGTGTACGTGGGTACGCTTGCGCGCGCAACAATTTGTCCCATGATGCTTTGAGACAGGAACTCGCCCTGATTTGGGCGGAGAGGCCCCATGTTTGAAAAGTCCCGGGAGGGCTTTGAGCTTGGGCCGCGTCCCGCCCCCTCCCCCTCCCCTCATTTCCGGTTCCTGGCCCTGGGAGCCTTATTGTTTCCGCAGGCCTCTGAGTCAGGGGCTTCTCCTCTGCTTGTGCAGTTTGTCTCTTTTGCACCTGGGTTCCAATACGCACCATTGCCAGAGTCGCGCTTGGGTGATTCCTGGGTAAGACCCTTCTCTCTGGGCCTCCGTAAAGTGGGGTGGGGGCGTGGGAGGTCTCTTCTGACTCTGCGCCTTCTACCTCCGGTGCACCCTGTCTATAGCTCGTTCTTGTCTAATTGCTTGCATTCCTTCCCCTCGGTTAGACTGGAAGCTCCCCGAGGGCAGGCACTGCCTGTTTATTTTTGCTTTTCTTTGTGTCCCCAGTACCTGGCACGTAATAGGCGTTTGCTAAATGCTTATGACTTGACTAAGTACTCCCGTTCTCCTTTTGCCTTAGAATTTCCAATGTGCAGGGACAAGTGCTCAATGAGACTTTTTCTCTTTTTTCTTTTTCATCCCATCTCTTTTTGTCTATGCCTCTATTTATATGTGTGTGTGTGTATATATATCTATATAACTGGAGGGGGCTAGGCAGTGGGTTAAGTGACTTGCCCAGGGTCACACAGCTAGTGAGTGTTTTGTGTCCGAGGCCGAGTTTGAACTCTGGTCCTCCTGACTCCAAGGCTGGAGCTGCCACCTAGCTGCCTGTCTATGCTTCTAGAAGGATGTTGTGCAAGGACCCCAAACACATCATTAGCTTTTTGTGTTTCATTTTGGACCCTCCATCCTTTGCTTTTGTGCCAGGAGGTGGGCAGCCTGCCTCTTCTGGCTCATCCTGTTTTCACTTAGATTGAGGTTAGTTAAAACCCCAAAACAAACCTTCTAAGAAACTGCATTCTTTCAGGTCCTCACCCCACAAGAAACACTGAATTATCTATTTAATGTTACCCAATCAAACATTGTTAATTTACATATTAAAAAACCCAAATGCAAACTATTGCACCTCAGAGTCATTTTGTTAAACAGGGGACCTCACTGTCTCCCTATGGCCAACTAAGTGGTTTCCCTTTCATTCCTTCATAGTTCTTTCAGCCTGTGACTTCAGGGCCAGCAGCCATCAGATTGCTCACCTCCCAACCCCGGGTGTCACCTGTAGGTAAGAGATCTTTTGATATCTCTTAGAGGGGTTTTAGGATTAAGCTGCCTGTCAGACTAGATCCTCTTCCAGGCTTAGAGCATTTCCTTAAGAATTGGCTCGTAAATCACTTTTCAAGTACCTGTGCTTGTATCTTGCCTGTATCTCTAACCACCTTTTATATTGCATATTGTAGGCACTAAAACCCTGCCAACGTGGTGTTAGAAGTCACGTGTAAGTCAGTTCCTGCTTCCCACAGACCACCTGCAGTCTTAGGACAGGAGACTGAGAGGATTGCTCCAACCGGGTGACAAGGATCTTTCTCCTTTCATTTGGTTAGAGGCCTGCCCTGGACTAGGGCTCCCAAGAAGTGGGAGGAAGGTTTTTTGTCTTTGGGCAGATGCTGAGTATGTGGCTCCTACTCTGCCCTCCTCTCCAGACACCAGGTACAGGGTATTGGTGTGCCACCGAGAATAGCACAGCTCTTAACTCTTGGCACCTGTGGTAGTCCCACAAATCCTGTGGTCAGCTCTCCTGGGTTCCCTTCTGGCCTGCTCAAAGGGGCAAAAATCAGTGTTGTCCTTTCCCCACACTGTTTATTATAATGTATGTGACCTTGTTCTGTGTTCACTTAAGAGCATGGTTGAGAGATAAGATTGTTCAGACAAAACAGGCTAACCAGGTGCCCTGAGCCAGGACAGAGGTGGCAGGGCATCAGGAAGCCGGGAGAATTACCCCAGTTGAGTATTAGATGATCTGTGAAGGCCCTGCCCAGAGAGCTAGGTTTCTGTTGATCAGGGTTCAAGAGGGATTGGTGAGGGCTGAGGCCTGGTTGCCCACTGTTCAGGTGACCCTGAAAAGGACTGTTCATTGGACAGGTAGGAGGAGCCTCCACAATGGGAAACCTCACATCCAAGGATGACAGAGGAGCTATTCCAGAGAAAGAAACGCCAGCGTTTTATATGTACACCCACTACCGACCTAAGTGCTGCAGATTTCTGGTAGACTGGAACAGGCTTACCAGAGGTCGTGGTCGATCTCTGTGGTTTCCACGAGAAGGATCATTTGACTTGAGTAAAATAATGCACCTGAAGGAGGTCCTGGAATCTCGTGGCTCTAAAGTGGGGCGAGACGAGTGGAAAGCGTTCATTGATTGGCACACAGAAGCTTCCAAAAGGCACCAGGACGCTCAGGAGCAGCGTCATAGAGATTCCATTGTGAAACTGGAAGACAAGATTCGTGCTTTTGAGTCTTTGAATCACCCTCCACCACCACAGCAGGTGCCAGGGGGTGTTGGGGAGCCCGTGAGGGCTCAAGAAGTTCCCCAACCTCCAGCTCCAGCCGCTGCCCCTCCGGCGCCAGCTCAGGCCCCAGCCCAGGCCCCAGCCGCTGCCTGTTCCGTTCCTTTAACTCCCCCTCCTTCCTTAACCCCAACGCCTCTTGTAGCCTCAGATGATAGAGCCTCCTGGATTTGTTCTCCCAGACCGAGAGTGGTAGAGTACCCAGAATGGAGAAGGAATCCAGGTGATGGCACTACTTTTAGGCCTAAGGATTTGTATGACCTTGCTTACAAGTTCTCAGACATTGAGAAAGAACCGAAAGAGTTTAAGAATCAGTTAAGTTTTGTTATTAATGTTTTTAAGCCCACCTGGGCAGATATGAACAGACTTTTGACAATCGCATTGCCCACAGAGGTCAGAGAGCGCCTCTTTGACATGGCGCTCTGGCCGTTGGAGGATCCCGGAGAGGGTCCGTACCTGGTTTGGGTCTGGCAGGCTTTACTCAATGCTGTTGTGTTGGTCTGCCCTAGAAAATCTGACTGGGGGAAAATTGTATCCTGTAAGCAAGAAATGGACGAGCAACCTATCATGTATTTAGATCGCTTTACAAAAGTCTTTGAGGAGCACTCTGGCATTGATGACCCGGACAATGGGGCCACGCAAGGGATGGCAATTGCTTTTGTCCAAGGCCTCCTCCCCAGAGTTCAAAAACAGCTGCGTACTTTTTGTGTGGGGTGGGAAGGAAAACACATGTATGAATTGGCAGCAATAGCTCATTACTACTGGCAGCTGGAGCAGGAGAGGAAGATGATCGTCCGGCGAGGCCCTAAGAGACGACGGCCTAAGAAGTCCTTTGACCCTTCTGCATGCTTTTACTGTAGACAGGTTGGTCACTGGATAAAGGAGTGCCCTTATCGGCTCAGACGCCAACTCCAGCTTGGCCAGCTGGCAGCTTCCTTCACGTTCTCCTGAGGGATGGTCACTCCTTACAGCCCTGACTGGAGGGAGCCTCCAAGCCCATCCTCTGAGAAATGGCTCCTCATTGGGAGATTGTTTTCTGTCTTTTGTTACAAAAATTTCACCTTCTGCCTTAAGTTCCTTAAAGGGGAAGAGCTTTCTGTTCCCAGATTTTAGTAATGCCTCGCCCAGTGGCTAGGGATGAAGGGGTGTTCTTTGTAGCCCCTTGGTGCTTGGAGAGAACAGAGTTTGTACCTCTCCTAAGCAGAGGATCAAAGGGATAAAAAGCCCAGGCTCACCATCCCTTTCAGCCAGAATCTAGGCGGCCTTGAAAACAGAAACTGCTCTCATGGGCATGAGACATGGAATCTTTTTTTTTTAATTTTTTAAGATTTTTAAAGTTTTTTGAGAGTTGGAGTCTTTTTGTGGGGTTTAAAAAAAAAGCAGGAAATCTTCTGGACTATCTTGGGGAGGGGTTTTGACCTGTTCTCGTGCTTTTCCCCCGGACCTTGGAAATACTTGTATTTTGCCTTAATTGTAGATCCTAGTTCTTTGTGTGATGGGGAGAACCCTTTGGGACCGTTGATATCTCTTGCCCATAATCTGCGCTCTCAAGGGGATTCACGGTAAAGGGAGTTGGTGCTGGATTGGCAGCCTGCCATACTAGGGCCTGTCTGGCATGCCTGGTACTCATTAGGACGATTGACCCATTCTGAGCTTACTCTGTTGGATTGCTGGAAAGGAGATCTCACAGAGGCCGGGACGGGAGCTGCCTGACTCCATTGGCCACCGCAGCCTCCTGCCTGCTGGGTCACCAGCCTGGCTGGCTCTTCCATCCCTTGAACAGTGTGAAGTTCCATTGTGCCGCTTGACTATCTTTTAAAAATCCCAGCGTGTGTCTGGGATCAGACAGAATGGAGGGGGATTTTCTTGTTGTACAATACTTGTGGGAAGTCATTCTGTAACTTTCTGACCCAGAGCTGCCAGAACCTGTTCATTATTATCACCTTGATGGCCTGGTACCCCAACTAACAGTAAATTCTTTGAGTATTGCAGGAAAACACCTAAATGCCTTATGTGCATCTCAGTGTCTGTACCCTGAAATCCATATGGATGGGGGTCAAGGGATGGAAAAGCCCTTTTTTTAGTTAAATTTTATTTTTTAATCAACAAAAGTCTACCTTCTCTCTCTCCTACCTCCCCTGTTCCCTGTTAAGAAAGAAAGAAAAATAAAATCACTGTTCCAAAATATGTATAGAGAAGGAAAACAGATTCCTGCATTGGCCACGTCTGTCACCCCTAAAGCCCTTTTGGTAAGAACCAGTTTTGTTTTCTTTCTCCAAATGGACATAACATATAAATGTTTGATTGAATCTTCGTGCCATTGTCTGGGGTCATGAAGCATGAGCAAAGAAGATGCTAGTGAGTTTTGACCCAGGAATCTCATTATTATTATGATTTCTGCTGTTCTCCTTGCATCCCAGTGCCATCGTGGGCCCTGATCCTTCCCCGGGCATTCAGTGATCATCAGTGTAGGGATTGTGGGGGATGGGAAATGGCCAACGAGGCTGAGCAGCTGCCGGGTTATTGGTGATGGCCCTCTCTGAGCTACGGTGTGTTTGTACTGAAGAATTTTGAAACTGCCAGTTCCACACCCGTCTGCATGCATGTCAATGATGGCTGTTGCCTGCTAGAGAATAGATGTGGACGTGGTTCCTCTACTGCTGAGTGAGGCCTTCATTATGAGGTCTCTCATATTAGAAACCTTGTGAAAGTCCCCCCCCCCATCTAGGTCAGGGCTCCTGGATAACCAAAGGGGAGGCACTGGAGTCTTTAAAACAAAGCCCCTGGGAAGTAAACATTAAGAACGTGTCCTTGGCTGAGGCTGCTGAGAGACGGTTTCTTTTTTTTCTTTTTGTGGTTAGGTGGTGGGGTTAAGTGACTTGCTCAGAGTCACACAGCTATTGTTATACGTCTGAGGCCAGAGTTGAACTCGTGTCCTCCTGACTCCAGGGCCGGTGCTCCATTCGCTGCGTCACCTAGCTGCCCCTTTTTTTCTTTCTTTTTTTTGGGGGGGAGGGGGAGATAATTTCAGAAACAAGCCAGCTTATTAGGGCACTTGGTTGTCCACTTGCTCGTGCAGTTTGTTTTTTTACCTTATATCCCTAAAGGGGCAAATGAGAGAATATTTGTAAAGCGCTTTGCATAGTGCCTGGTAAACAGTAGATGCTTAATAAATACTTGTTTACTTCTTTCCTTCCTTCCCTCCTTCCTAAATTGGGGAGATTCTGGTGTTTCTACAGCTGTGATAATAAGGCTCAGGTGAGCCCACATGAAGGAGTCTGGGGGTTTGGGGTAGCACCCTGGTCTCTAAGGGAAATAGACATTGCCTCCTAAGTGGAGAAAAGGGATAAGAAGCCTGCTCCCTGAATCCTGTTAAGCCAATCACTACCCTAGAGCCCTGGGACCTTGAAAAGTGAAGCATTGCCAGTGCCCCAGAAATGGGACCCTTCTTACATGGAAAGGGAAAGCGCAGGAGCCACCTTGAAATGGGCTTGAGCTATTCCTCCTGCTCTACCACTCCCACTTCCCATTAGCTGACACGAGATGGTGGCCTCCATGCCACCCACATAGCCAATGGAAATCCTGGCTTTCCAACCTCCTTGAGATCTTTGGGACAGGAGCTGTTGGGGGAACTACTGCCCTTTCCTTCTCTCACCCCAACCGCCTTTCCTCCACTAAGGTCTCTGATAGCCCAGGGAGACCCAGCTCCAGACAGACCTGAAGAGCATCTCATCTCATCCCCACCTGTCTCGAGACCTCTGCTAGCCACAAAGCTCATCTTCCTGTATCCCTGAGGGTCCTTGGATCTCAGCCATCTGCCTTGCCATTGCATTCTGGGGACGTGGCAGTATCTTAATCCTGTAGTTGAGCTGTTTTGTCTCTTCTAATAAGAAATCGAGTCTGTCTCAATTTTCTTTTCTGTATCCCCAGATCTCATTATGTAGTAAGCACTTAATAAAGGCATTTTTCATTTGTATCATTCGCTCAATAAACCACTTAGCTCTGTTCAGCTTTGTCACGTGTAGTCTGTTTCTTTGTCCCCTGGGTATAACCTGGTATAGTTTTCACAGTTTATCCTTTTGGAGGGTGTTGAGAGCTTGCACTGATGGGTTTGAGGATTTAGGCCAGGCCGGGTTTTACTTCCAGCCTGTTCTAAAATCTAAGAGCCACATAAGTCAGAAAGTAGGCTCTCTGACCCCTCCCCTGCACTGCCTTTCCCTTGAGAACAGAAGGACCTTGAAAGATAACCAGAAGCCAGGAGATAACTAACTCCAGGGGAATCCCCCCCCAGTTACTGTTCCCATGAGAAAAATTATTGTTGATACTTCTGCCTTTTCCACTCTGGGTGCTGTTCCCGTGAGTGGGGTATAAAAATCTTAACTCTCAGATCAATAAACGGTGCTTGTTCATAACTTGCTACCCCCTGGTCCGCATGATTTCCTTCCCTCCCTTCCTTTCTTCCTCCCTCCCTCTCTTTTTCACCTCACCGAAGATTAAACACAGTACTGGATGCAGGCATCTGCTACAGGAGGGTACTGGTTGCCAACTGTAGCAAGTAGTGTGAATAGGCAGATCTGATCACCCCTTCTCTGTCGTTTTCTCTGAACCCCCAAGACTAATGTTGACTCATTTGGAAAAGGAGCCATGTGCTAATTACTGGCCTCTGCCTCCAGACCCATAGCATCCCCCAAGGAACAGAATAGGCTTGGGATGACTTTTCTTTTAAAACAAGAAATTACAGTCCCAAGCACTGGCCCTTTAACGCTTTCAAACTGTCTGTTAAGATGTATGACGAAGGTAGATAAACCTGTGTACTTTGAGTTTTGGGGAAATACCAGCTCCCCAGAAAAGTAACCTCTGAGACCAAGGAAACAGCCACAGTGTTGTGTGCACAGAGGTGGACCCTCTGACTGTACCCTTTTTGCTGGCAACAACTAGATAAACCTGACCAATTCTCTCCGGGAGGCCTCCACTCTCCTAGACATTGCCTGCTGCAACAGCACATTCTGATCAGATTAACTACAGAAGAAAACATCCCATTGGAATAAACCTGATCTTTGACACAAAGTTAACATTCTGACCCCAAGGTTTACATGTTCCCCCAATTTCCATTCTGCCTCAGAATGCCATTGATTTGACTATGTAGTCTAAAAAGTTTAAAAAGCTACAAAAACCCAAAGTATACCCTAAGAAACAAGGCTTTCCTAGCCCAAATGTGACTCAGTTTCCTGGCACGGCACTGGTATATAGTCCAGGTTTCACAGGCACACAACATTGAGATCAGCACAGCGGCTCCATAGACCTTCAATTTTGTAGGTAGCCTAATACTTCTTCTCTCCCACACTTTCCTTGGGAGCCTCCCAAACACTGAACCAGCTCTGGCAATGCATGTGTCAACCTCATCATTTATGTGTACATCCCTGCCAATGTAAGTAAATTTATCCACAGTGTTCAAAATTTCTTTATTTGCTAAAACTGATGGTTCAATTGAATCGATTCCATTTGAATTATCTTCAGAGGATCCTGAAGATCACCTGGCAAGGTAAAGTACTGAACGCTGAGGTCCTTTCTCCAGCTGAACTGCCAAGCATTCAGACTATTGCAGAGAGGGCAACTCCGATGAGCTGGTTGTGTTCCAATGCCAAACGCGTGCTTTCCTAAAAGACTATTAAAGAGATCTGCACAAGGCAAGTGCTCACACAGTATAAGGACTCTTTCAAGGTCTCTCTGAAGAACTTTGAAATTGCTTGTGAGACATGGGAAACACTGGCACAGGATCCCCCTGAATGGCGTGCCCAAATCAAAGACAGCGCTGTGCACTGTGAGCCATAGTAGGATGTACCGTACCTTGACCCCTAATGATGCCATTTTGGTCCTCCATGAACCAGCCTGAATGCACTTCTTTAGCTCGCTAATAGGTTTCTTTTCCTTTCATTCTGTCCTATCTTTGACCCATAGTCATTGAGTATATCTTTCCCAAGAGGCTGAGAGAATTCCCTAACAATTTGGTGTGACTCTGAGCTGGTAAGTAAGTGATTGTACACTGAGGACAGCCTGCCTGAGCGTGCATAAGGTAACATTTTTACCAACATTAGCAGCCTCCCATGATGCTCTGTGTCTTCTTCCTGGTCTACAAGTCATTTTCCTTAAGCTTTTTTTTTTTTTGGTCAGGAACAGACTAGATTGGAACACATAAAAATTGATGAGAAGTGAGCTGTTTTTCTGTTGGTAAGGCTTTACAAGGAAGGACACTTCTGTTCTAGGAAAGTGTAACAGTTAAAGTAAACTGAGGCACAAAGTTCTAAGCATAATTTATTAGTAAAGTGCACATTTACCAATAAATAGGATCTCAGCTTACTCAGCTAAACTAAGACTCCCGGAATGAGGGGGACTGCCCTCTTTGTCGTTTTGAGGAGTGCAGAACAAAGAATAGAACCTTGTCAGGAACAAGTTATGATTGGTTAAGAGATCGACACATATATGATGAAATCAGTATGTTTGGTTACAGAGCTGAGGTGTAGGGGATAATATGGTTGGAAGTTGGGAATGAGGGGCTCTTTTCCTCCTGTGACTAAGAAATGGTCATTGAGTCCACTTGCAAGGTTAGAGACAGCAGACCAGATTTCTTTGGAGAATAAACCAGACACCCTTGAAGGATGGCCTGGTGGTGTAAAGATACTAGACCTGACTTCCTGGTGTCCATCTTCATCCCTGAAGGGTAGCGGGTTTCCTTAGTGTCCATGTGAATTGCATCCCTCAAGGGTAGCAGGTTTCCTTGAGGCAGGAATAGGACAGTGATTAGCAGGAGGACTAGATTTTTAAACTTAACCCATTATAGGCCGCCTGAATTTCTCAGTTAAGCTCAGAGAGAAAGAACCATGATTTAGGCATTTCACAGGACTAAACTGTAAGCAGAATCAATACAAGTGATATGGAATCAGTCTGATTATTTCAGAAGGTCTTAGTCACATTCTGTTAACCAAGGCTGAATCTACCAATCTTGGCAGGTGCTACACCCACTTCTCAAGATTTAACATAGGAGAGGTAGGTAGGGTGCACGGCTGGGATGGTAGAACCCTATGCCTCAGTGGGAAGGCCACCTCTGTCCAATCAACACCAAAGCCGAGACTGGGATTTTGGTTTGAACTTTGTGGTCTTTGGCTTTCTCAAAAACCTTCTCCAGTGAGATTAACAGAAGAAGCAATTTGGTTGGATTTGTGCACTACAGCTACCCAAAAATAACACTCAGATTTTCTAGGTATAAAGTGAAAGATTTATTATGTTCTCCAGAGAAGCGGGCCTCTGCTTTGTCAGTCCGAGCGAAGCGAGGCAAGGCACAAAGGCCAGGACAAAGGTTATATAGCCCTAACACAGGGATACCCACCCACCACTGGCTTTGAATTCCCACTGGACAGGAATTTCAGCCTAACAATCTAAAACACAAAAATCTACCCCAGAAACAAGGAATCTCATTATAATACTACCAATCCTAGCTATTTTATCCTTTTTAGTAATTAGCCATTACCTAATGCTGATGTAACAGTACAAATCATGTGTTTTCTAGGAACCTGAAACTTAGGCCTATTGAGGCTAGTGTAACCAACCTTGAGTTGGTAACAGTCTAAGACATTGCTACACTCAGTCCATCGGAGAGATCTCACATTGTTTCCATTGTTTCACTCAGTTAAAAAAAAACCAGAGTCTTGACAAAAGTTTGCAAAAGGAGAGATGTCTTCACTGACTTTCTCGAGAAAGTGCACCCCCATGCTGCCTCCGCTGCCCCGAGAGTGAGAATGCTCTTTGTTCAAGGCAAGACTACATAGACCCCAATGTAGCAGCCCACCCTAACCCCCTTCCCGTCGGCTCATTGACTGAGCCTCAGGTATACAATCTATTCGTGTAAAAACTACCCCAGCAACAGAGAGAACAAAGACGTATAGAAATTGTGTTAGCACATTCCCCTTTTCAGGGCCTCACAGTTTCAGCAGTCTTTTACCCAAGGTCATACAACCAGCTAGAGGACGAGATAGACAGGATGCTCCCATCGCTCAGGAATTTCTGCTAACACTATCTAAGAGTAGAGGAGGGAGAAGGCTAGGGAAGGGGGTCTTGCATTCTGAGGGGTCTTCACTTAGTGTTGGTCCACCCGTACCACTCAAAAGCAACAATACCAGAACCATTAACAAGAACTAATGACCCTTTGAGGAGGCTTCACTTCTGAGAGATCATCTCTCACAGATTTAAAGTTTTACGTGAGTGATGGCCGGTGATTGTATGAGTGAAATGAGCCAAAACTCCTGTACAGATCAGGAGGAGACCTATGGCTAGAGATCTCCCAGGCCAGAGCCCTTGGGAGACTTTCCCAATGCTAATCAGAACCAATGATTCCGCATCCGAGCCAGCCTGGGGATAGACTCAGTTCTTTGCCATAGAGAGCCTCCTGTATATCAAACACACCTGTGGGTAGAGGCAGCTGTTCATCTTGAAGATAGATGGAGTGGACCAAGTAAGAAATTAACAACCAGGATTACCACTTACCTAGACATTCGCTTTGTGAATGCCTGTGGCATCCCCCGAAAAGGGCATTTAGAACCCTGGTAAAAGATCTTGTGCTCTGAGATTTTAAGTGAGAGAGGGCACTGTTTGGCTTGTGTTTGTTTTATGGAGTGTATGCCGGCAGCATTATCTGTGTTCTGTGTAAATCCAGCTGTTTTCTCTGTGGTCTGATTAGCCAAAAAGAAAAAAAGAGTGAGAAAGTTTCTGCCGAAGGTTTCAAATCTTTCCAAGCATCACCTCATCTCTGTGTTCCTAATTCTGGACAAGTTTAATTTGTAAATGAAATGAAATCTGTTTAATGTGTATTTCCAAATTATGAGGTGTAAATGTTTTTATATGGGCTGAAATAGCCCGGGGTGTTTTTTTGTTTTTTTGGTGGGGGGAGAAGGTTACAGTTCCTTAGCACTATTAAGAGACTTTGTGGGATTTGCACCTCCGTCGTTCTCTTACCCGCTGAGTGAAAACTTTTACAGCTTCAGTGTAGGGGGAAGGGGATTTCACAGACTAAGGATGCTCGGTCTAAGAGTTTTGTCTCTAACGATTTCGAAAGCAAAAAGGTGGGGGAGGGGAGCGAGGAGTTTTGCACTTTTTCTTCTGGTCTGAAGTTTCCGGCTCGGAGCTGGTGCTTGAGGTATCATTCATTCTTCTTTCCAGCAAGGGGGGAAAAAGAGGCTTGTGAAAATTTAAATGGAAAATAATTTGGAAAAATGCAAAATATAATTTTGAGAACAAATCATCATAGGCTTCTGTGCGTGATTTGTCAGCATTTAATTGCCTCGGTAAATTAGAAGCAAAGACAAGTGGGGGGCGGTGTGAGAAGGTGCTATTCCCATTTTGTAGTTGAGGAAACTGAGGTAGAGGTTAAGTGGGTTGCCTAGGGTCACACTGCTGGTAAGTGTCTGTTGCTGGATTTGAACGGGGGCGGGGGAGAGAAACATATGATTAATAAACATGAAATGTATTATGCATTCCATTTATGTTAACATGCACACACTTTGAAATGTTTGTTCTGATTGGCGACTTAAGCATCCAGCCCAGCAGAGGGCGCCTCTTGCCGTCCCCGCCCCCACTCGGACGAACGACCGCTTTTCACTCCTCAAAGTCGCTAACCCAGAAGTTGCGTCTTCCCCTGCCCCCTTTTCAAACGCATGCGTTCTGAGACTTTCCGTCTCGCCGCGGGATCTAGTGGAAGCTCTTTCCCAGGAGCGGAAGCTTAGGTTTTATTTGTTGGTTTCACGTCTGCAACAAGCTCAAAAAAATACCAAAAAATCTTCTCAGCCTTAAATTTTTTACTGAAAGAATCCCATTCTACTCCCTGTTTTCTTTTGTTGATTGGTTGCGGGAGTCTGGCGCTGATTGGCTGAGGCATAAGCGGCTCCGTTTCAACCTTAACAAGGTTGAAAGAGGAAAGAGTCTCAAGCAGAGTGATTTGATTGGCCCTCGGGGCGAGCGGAACGCCTCGTTTTCTGATTGGACGGTGACGGTGCTTGTCGGATTCCTATCACCAATCCACATTCCCAAATCTAGCCTTCTGGGCCTCATTGGCTTCCCCCGCTCGCCATCGGCAGACTCTGATTGGTCCAAGGCGCTGCCCATCCGGGCCTGGGGGCCCTAACGGGGAAGGCCTCTTCTCCCCGCCCTTGAGGCTGTCGGCGGGGCGGGCCACTAAGGCAGCCCAGAACTAGGCTGGCGTGACGTCGACGCTGACGCTACGGTGGCGGCGGCTGCGGCGGCGGCTGCGGCCGGGGCCAGGGTCGGCGCGGTTGCCATGGCAGCCCCGAGCGGAGGCCCGGGAGTCGGCGCCGGGGCCGAGGGCGGCGCGGGGCCCGAGGGCGGCTTCTCGTTCGGCGGGTTCCCGGTGCTGGGCGGCCTGGGCCCCGCGGTCCCGGGCCCGACCCCGGCGCCGCTGCGGCTCCTGCACGAGCTGTGGCAGCGTGACCCCGGCCCGGATCCCGGAGATGAGCGGAGCGGCAAGCTGCGGCCCTGCCGCCTGCGGCGTGCGGCCCGGCCGCACCGCCGCCTGGGGCCCACGGGCCGGGAGGTGCACGGTGAGCGGGCCGGGAGTGGGGGGGCGGGGCAGAGGGGGGAGGACCCCCGGACCCCGGGAGCAGAGGGAGGGAGGATCCCCCAGAACCCAGGGAGCAGAGGGAGGGAGGAGCCCCAGGACCCCGGGAGCAGAGGGAGGGAGGAACTCTGGACCCCGGGAGCAGAGGGAAAACCCTCCCTCCTCAGCCACCCAGAGTCAGAGTGGAGGCCTTCCACCCCATCCCTAGGTCAGACAGAGAAGAGAGGACCCCTGGTTCTAGTCACCTGGGGTCAGAGGGCCTTCCCCCTAGCCCCCAGCCAGCATTCATGAGCCAGATCCCCAGAGGGAAACCATCCCCACCTCTCCCCTCCTAGCCACCTGAGTTCCGCCAAAGGGACACCTCCACCCGCTCCTGACGCTGAGATCTGTCAAGGTTATCACTCCCCAGCCCCCTTCTGGTGTTAGCAGAGGTCAGAGGGGAAAGGACCTTCTCCACTTCTTCCCATCCCACCTGGGATCTGCCAGTGGGTTATCTTCCCTTCCCTTCCCAAAGACCAGAGGGATGCCCCCCTTCAGCTCCTGGGGGTCCAGAAGGGACGTCACCAGCCCTCTTTAAACCAGCAAGGATGCGCCAGAGAGGCAGCCCCCCCAGGTCCCCCCCAGTAAACAACCAAGAAAATCATCTGTGAGGAACTGTAAGGAACCTCTATAATATAGCCCCCTGCTTGTTAACAGAGAAGGAAGGGAAGGGACTTGCTCACACTCAGAAATAGGATTTGAACCCAGCTCCTCAGAGGGTACTCTTTTCACTACATCCAAATGCTTCATGATAGGATTTCACGTTTCTGTGGCCCCGTAAGGGCCCTGTGAGCCAGGTGGCCTGGGTGTTGTTGTCCGCATTTTAGAGATGAGGAAACTGGGGCCAAGAGAGGTCAGGTGACTTCCCCCTTGACCATTTGGCTAAGAGCTGGATTCACAATTTGAACCCTTGTCTCCTGGCTTCTGGGAGGTTTGCCTTAGCCATCCCCTGCGACCCAAGAATCCCCAACAGCATTTGCATGTGAGATGTGTTTGGGGGATCCTCGGGGATGTGGAGCACAGCAGGTCAAAGATCCAGGAGTCTCAGGATTTCTGGGAAAGTGACTATGGGAGACCCACAGGGATTTGTTGGAGCCAAGTGGCTCATCCCCTAACATTCCCTCAGAGGAAGGCCAGAGAGGGGGTCAGCAGAAGGGCCGTTCCTGACCCTCCTGTAGAGTTGAGGAAGTCACTGCTTTGGGGGAAGGAGTATCTGGGTGTCCTTTGTGTCCTAGTGCTTCCCCTCGCTTTGCGCAGTCTACACTGGGGGAGCTAGTTAAGAAACACTGCCCCGTGGCCCTGTGGGAGGACTTTTTAGTTTTACACCGGTTGTCTCTGTTTTCTTGACAGCGTTGAAAAGACTGCGGGAGTCTGCCAATGCCAATGACTTAGAAACAGGTAAGTTTCCACAGAGGTGCCTGCATGCCTCCAGGGGTCCTGGAAGTCTCCTGAGGAGGAGGAGGACAAGGCCTGGGCAGCTCAAAAAATAGACGGGAAGAGCCTGGTGTCATTCCTTTGAGAAATGGGGGACCTCGAGGAGGGAGGCAAACTTTTGTTCACCATGTGCTGGACTGTGTGTGGTCAGGTTTGGTGGCTTCTGTAGGGGAGGGTGCATGGGTCACTGGTGCTGGCCGCTGGCTGGGAGTGGGGGGGGGGCCTCTCTGAGCCTCCTCGTGGTATCAGCTTCCACAGCTCCATGAATGGCCTCCACCAGAAGGAAGCAGGAGACAATAAGGTGCTTCTGACTTGTTAAAATGGCAGGACTCTACTACCCTGGCTCCTCACAGTCTCCCTGCCAGCCTGGGAGGTGGAGGCTCCAGCTGAGATTTTCCTGACTGGAGAGGAGGAAGGAAGGGGCAGAGGCAGCCAGCCTCCCTTGTCTTCCTGCGCAGGCAGAGTTCTGCCAGGGAATCAGAAGCTGTTGGGCAAGAGAGACGAGAGAAGTACACTGTCCTGAAGTCCTGTGGCTTCCAAGCTGGAGGGGACCGCCAAAATAGTCATTGTACATGCCGAGCTGGGGCCACCTGGGCAGGACCAGGGCAAGCGCCTCAAAGGAGCTGCAGGCCAAGAAAAACTTGGGTGGCACATGGTTAAACAGGGAAAAATCCTCCTTTTAATTAAGAGAAGAGTCTAAACCAAAAAACTCCCTATTCCTGGTAAAATTCTACAGTGTTCTACTTTGCAAATTATTATATAGATTGCATTGAACCCTGAAATTCCAGAGGCTCTGACATTCCAAGTTTAAGGTCCTTCCCACTCTTGACATTCCCTGTTCTAAGCTCTTCACAGCTCTGACATTCCCTGTTCTAAGGTCCCTCCCAGCTCTGACATTCCCTGTTCTGACATTCTCAGTTCTAAGCTCCCTCTCAGCTGTGACATTCCCTGTTCCAAGGCCCCTCACAGTTCTGACATTCCCTGTTCTAAGGTCCCTCCTAGCTCTGACATTCCCTTTTCTAAGGTCCCTCCCAGCTCTGAGATTCCCTGTTCTAAGCTCCCTCCCAGCTCTGACATCTCCTGTTGAAGGTCCCTCTCACATTTTGACTATTTAAATGACTTGAATGTTCCAGGCCCCTGAGTCCCCCCAGCAGTGAGGCTAGGGAGACTGATCTCTGCTTCCAGCCTTCTTCTGGTCTCTGGAGAACTTTTGGAGCTTCCTGCTCGTGAGCCTGTGCCCCGCAGGTGGGCAGCAGGTATCACTCCTTGTCGCTGGCTCCCCCTGCCAGGACTTGGCCTTCTTGCTGCCCCTCAGCACCTCGCCTCACTGTTCCAGAAGGACCTCACCGTCATTGACCCTGGCAGTGAGTGGGGTTTGTCGGGAGCCCCCAGCATCAACACAGAGCCTGTTCTCTGGCCAGGCCTCAGAGGGGCTTCCGCAAGTCAACCCCTGGTGGCCTCTCCTGGGGAGGAGCCTCGGGGGACAGGCACGTGGGCCCTTGCCACTCCGAGCTTGGAGCCCTTCCAGAGCCTGTGCCCATTGCTAGAACTGGGAGAGGTATTGTCATCTGTTGCTTTCTTCTGGTAGAAGGCTGAGGAGACATTTGTGGGGCAGTGGCCCTTTTTCCAAGTGCCAACAGCTGATGCCAGTGAGGGGGCTCACAGAGGCCCCCTGCCGTGTCCCCAGGAGGGGGCTGGGCAGACTCACAAAAGCTGGTGGTCCAGTGCGTGAGAGCAGATGTGAGGGGAAGCAGGCAGGGCCGGAGACAAGACCCCCTGAGCAGCAGATCCTGGGCTGCCAGCCTCCTTTCTCTGTGTCTGGCCTGTCAGGGAGGAGGGGAGGCAGGAGAGGGGTTCTCTGATGGTTAACTGGCTCCACTTGCCCAAGGTCCCATGATAAGGGGAGGGGACACTCGAACCCAAGTCTCTGTGAGCGGCCTGGGCGTGCAGTTGGGGAGATCTGACTTCAGATTCTGCCCCCAGCTTATGAGTTGTGTGGCCCTCTACCCCTTTGAGCCGTGATGTCTGCACCTGTAAAATGGAGGCCCTTCTGGAGTGACTTCCTGGGAGGGCGGGTGCGACACTCAGAAGGTCATTCTTGCACCTCACGTTGCAAACTTCAAAGCTTGAAATTGGGAGACACTGAGAGGGTGTATAGGGGGGCCTGTGTCTGGAGCTCCTTGGGCAAATTGGGGTAGGGATTAATCATCCTTGCAGGCTGTTACAGGAAGTGGTTAGTACCCCACGAGATGTTTCTGATCGAGTATAATTCAAATTTGAAAAACCAGCTGCTGAGCAGGGATCCTTTTTCCTTTTCTCATGTTTAGGGAAGGCTTGAAGTGACAGGCTGATACACATGCATTATTCTGTTCTGGTAGTCCCCCACTTTTCTGTGGTCAGGGAGGAGGTGCTCCTCATTTTACAGATAAAGAAACCGAGGCACTGAGATGGGGAGAGACACGTCTAAGATGGTTGTGCTTCTCTCCTGAGTTGGGTCAAGGGTATCTGCAGAGTGAATGGTCCCCAGCCTGTCGGAATGCTTGGCTTCTACGTGTGTTAAGACATTTCACCACAGCTAGACTCCTGGCTGCCTCAGTCACCCCAAAGGTTGCCAGCCTGAGGAAGCCTTGGGAAACAAAACTTGAATGGTCCGTGTACTCTGTACTCAGATAAATTTGGAAAAGAAACCACCTGCCCCAGTTGGGGATGGACTGGAAGAGATGCCTGCCCTGGGCTGGGCCAAGGGCCCTTTGGGTCCAAGATTGCTTCAGCCACGTCTCCTTCCCCTCCCTGAAATGTGAGTTTTTTCAGCCCCATATCCATCAACAAGTATTGGTCAGGACAGGTGGGCTTTAGGGTGTTTGGTTAAGATAAAGTAGAAGAAAACACCTCTTTCCTGGCTTCAGTGAGGTGGGAAGGAAGGAATGCAGGCTCTGCAGAAGAACTTGGGGAAGGGGTGCTGGCCTGTGCTGGGCAGACGAGTGCAGAGCATCCCCCCTGTGCTTGGGTTTGACCTTCAGAAGGGTCTGCGCATTCCACACGCGAAGCTGACAAAGGACTGCCCTTGGTGCACTTCTTTGAGAAGCATGGCAAGCCTTGTCATCCCCATTTACAGATTAGGGGACTTGGGCCCAAAGAGGATGAGAAACCTGTGTGGAGAGGCACAGCCTACTCCCTGCCTTGGATAGCCAATGTGTGACAAGAAGGGAAGGGAGCATGCATTTATTAAGGACCTACTGTGTGCTGGGCACCGTGCTGAGTGTTTTACAAATACCAACTCCTGTAACTAAGCGTTAAATTGTGTGATACCGGCAATAAATGCCATAGCATTTAACAGAGGAAGGAGCCCCTTGAGGACCAGAGTGGTCACGGAGGGTTTCAGGGACCCTGAACTTTTCAGCCGAGACCGAAAGGTGTTGGAGGGAAGGCATTCAGTGGGAGGCTTAGTGTGCACTTGCCAGGGCCCTGAGGTTCCAGGCCAGAGCTGCAAGTGCAGGAGGGCGGGGCTCCCCTCCCGGGGCCAGTGGCCCTGCTGGCCACCACTCCCTGAAGCCTGTTGTCTTCTTCCCCTGGGCAGACCTCTGGCCCCCAGCGCCTAGCACAGTGCCTGGCAAGGGGAGAGTACTTTACAAAGGGTTTCTCATGGGTTCATTCATTCACTTCCCCATCACTGGCTCATAGTAGACTGAATAAATGACCGTCCAGTGACTGAAGCAGCCCAGGAAGCTACTGCAGCCTCAGGCTGTCCACCACACTGGCCAGGCTGTGTTGGGAGTGTGGGGCTCTGTTGTGGGCACCACATTTTATGAAAGAGACTGACAACAGGCATTTATTAAGTACCACTGTGTGCCAGAGTCCAGGCTCAGCACTGGAAAGACAAGGTCCCAGAATGAGAGTCCCTGCAACCGGGAGCGTGTCATGCTTCATGCATGCAGAGGAGGTGTGGGGTTACAGGAATCAAAACAGACACACACTCTAATAAGAATGGCAGCATGTACTAGGCACTTCAAGATATGCAGAGTGCTTTATCCGTATTGTCTCACTGGGTGCAGTTAGCATCCCCATTTCACAGATAAGGAACCTGAGGCTGAGAAAGGTTCAGTGACTGTCCAGGGCCACAGAGCTAGTGAGAGTCTGGGCATGATTTGAACTCGGGTCTTTCTCACTCCAAGGCCAGCACTATCCACTGTGCTGCCCAGCTGCAGGGGAGTTTGGGGGTGAAGGCACTAGTGTGGGGGGAGTCAGAGCAGGCTGAGCTTTGAAGGAAGTTAGGGATCTCCAGGTAAACTGGAGAGCACCCAGGACGGTGAAAGTTCTTGAATCATTTCATAGACTTGGAAGAACTGAGCGCATTAGCCAGGAGGTCAGAGGGCGAGGGGAGACCTGACTGAGGGCTGTTTTCAGGTGCTGGGAAGTTTGGGGTATGGAGCAGCTGCAGAGAGACCAGGTCAGACTAGACATTAGGATGGGAGCCAGCGCAGCTGGGCTGGGCTGCCCCAGAATGTCCTTGTGCAGGTGTTTTCTGGTTCTGATCATGTCATTGGACTGAGCTCAAGGCCCCAGGCTTAGACTGGCCTGCCCATCTGGAGCATCTGCTCGCACTTGGCTTATTCATGCCCCATCTCTCTCCATCTCTTCCTTGGTGATGTCAGCCACATTCCTGGGAAGTGCCGGAGTGGGACTTATCCTGGCATGGGTACAGGTCGAGGTCCCCATTCTGCCTCAGTGGGCCCAGTTCTGCAGCCCAAAAGCCCACTCAGATGGAGAGTTCTCCAGAGCAAGTCTTGGGCTGTGCTCAGATAGGGTGAAGCTCCCAGGATGGAGAATGTTGGGTGAGTCAGGGGCTTGGTGCTGGCCAAGGTGCTGAGGGCTCCTGTGCCCCATTCTCACTGCTCTCCCAGCTCAGCCCTGGGCTTTCCTGGTCGCAGACAGGAGGAGGGAGGGTGGATGAGCCCTCCCGGCCTGCAGCAGCCTCTCCCCTTCTCCCTGGGCCTGGTGCTCAGCTAACGCTCCCTCTTTCCTTTCCGTCTCCTCCGTCCTTGGTGGTGTCAGTGCAGCAGCTGCTGGAAGACGGGGTGGATCCATGCACGGCGGACGACAAAGGCCGCACGGCCCTGCACTTTGCTTCCTGCAATGGCAGTGACCAGATTGGTGAGTCTACGGATGGAGCTGGGCTGGTGGGATGGGGGGCTTCTCACTGAAAGGAGGTGGAGGAGAGGTGGAACCCGGTGCTTCTGTACCTTGGCCGGGGGGCCGGGGGTGGGCATCTTTGGATTCGAAGCTCAGTTTGCTCTCCACTAGGAGATCTTGCTTAGCATTGGAGCACGTTGTGAGCTGAAAACATGAGTTAGATCAATCAGTTACTGAATTGGACTCAGGCTGCGTGCCAGATTCCCCTGGGGTCTTTATAGAAATCAGGACACCTGGGCCCTACTCTTGGCCTTGCCTCTAACTACCCTGTCACCTGCAAGTCCCATAACCTCTCTGGGCCTCAGTTTCTCTTTGTGGGAACTGAATGCATTGGACTTAAGGGGTGGCCGAGGCTTCTTCCCGATGGTTAGCTAGGATTCTGTGACTGAGTGATTTCACCCAGCCGTGCTCTCCCATCCCCACCCATTCACCTGGAATGAATTCTTGAAGCTTCTGGCCCCAGCCTTGCTCGGTCCACCTCTAGGCTCTGCCTTGGGCTTCCGAGTGCCCAGCGAGCCCTGTTACTGCTGTGTTGACCCGGCCGTCCTCTAGGAAGGGCTTGCACCTTCTCTGTCATGGCGTTTCTCCCTCGACTCTCGGGGGCCGTGTTAGGATACCTTATGCTTGGTGAAGGGGCTTTCGGGTCTGTGGTCCCGTTTTATTGTTTGAAGACACCTTGGGGGAGATGGCACAAGTACTGAGTGATTTCTCCCCCACCCGTCAAATGTTAAATGCTGTCTTCACTTTTGAAAAGTGGTTCTGAGCATATTGAACAGATGAGAATTTCAGTTAGCTCCACAGTCGCACGTCCCACTCTCGACCTCTGTGGTCTGTACATTTCTCGCTTCCTTGGGCACCAGGAGGAGCCGGAACTGACCTTTAGTCATGAGGATGCCCCTTAGCCAGGTCCTGCCTTTACTTGAAGTCTCTTGTATGCCCATTGCTTCTGAGCTGTTGCCTCCTGGGGGCTCCCTTTATGCTCCCTCACCCCCAGGCAGCACGGAGTGGTCCTTCCGCTTGTGAGCTGAAGGGTGGCTGGAGAAATGGGGAGACCTTGGTCCTCAGACGGGACTGTCTCAGGAACTGGGATTTTGGAAGTCTCTGGTTGAAAAGGAGAGAAACGAATGGGTTGAGCTGACTCTAGCTGTTGAGCAGGGAGGGACCTCAGCGCCCCTCTTTTATAGCAGGCTCAGAGAGAGAGGAAGTGCATTTTTGAAAGCCCAAGTGCTGGGAATACAACTCGGGTCCAGCAGCTCTGATGAACCCCCTTTGCTGCTCTGGAAGGTGGGCATCCCTGCCCATGGGGGGGGGGGAAGAGGGGCTCAGCTCCTAGAGCCTTTCGTGGGGCATTGACTTTGCAGTGCAGCTGCTGCTGGACCACGGTGCTGATCCCAACCAGAGAGACGGGCTGGGGAACACGGCTCTGCATCTGGGTATGTGCCAACACCCACCAGTGGGAGGGGGGGCTGACGTTCTCTGGTTCCATGGCTTTGAGAGGCTGCCATGTCTGCCTTCATCCTGGCTCCCTAGCACTATCTTGTTGGTGCCTGGACTCCCTCAACTTTCAGACTTAGTGTCTGCTGCTGAGAGAAAAGGGGAATTCCCTCCCTCACCCCTGGCTCAAGCCACTGAATCCCCCTGGTGCAAAGAGGGTTCTGCATCTGGTGCCACTAACTTTGCACTATCATTAATTGTTTAAGTTTCTGAATGGGCATGGCTTTGTAGGGTGACCAGAGGCCTGGTGCCTGTGGGTAGTGGGGTCTCAGGCTCACATACCCAGAAAGGTGGGGACCCTCCACCATAACACCCAGGCCCTTTTATTTGGTGGTTTCCTGATGTGTCCCACATCTCCCCCAACAGCTGCCTGTACCAACCACGTTCCCGTCATCACCACGCTGCTCCGAGGAGGTAAGGGGTTGTCAAGCTTCCCTAACTCCTCCTCCCTGCTTCCACCAACCTCCCCCCCAATCCCTGTGTCTTTTGTCTACCCTCTTTCTTTCCTTCCTTCTTCCCCAGGGGCCCGGGTGGATGCCCTGGACCGGGCTGGCAGGACCCCCTTGCACCTTGCCAAGTCAAAGCTGAATATTCTACAGGAGGGGCACTCCCAGTGCTTGGAAGCTGTCCGGGTGGAGGTGAAACAGGTGAGGGAGGCTGTCATCTCACGTTGTGGGCTTCTGGCTTAGGGCTGGCCTAGAGCCGAGAGAATAAGGCTTGTGGAGGTGACGGGTGTTATGGGACAACCCGGACAGTTGGGGGGGAAGCTGCTGCCACTGGGAGCTAACAGCGTGCCCAAGGGAAGGTCAGAGGCCAAACCAAGGGTTCTAGTCTGTCTGGCCCAACCAGAGGGTTCACAGGTTATACGTCAGACATAAAAGAAATAGTGCTTGGTCTTAGACCTGTCCAGCAGAGGCACGTTCTCACATGTCGCTCAAGGGAGAAGCCAGGCCTGACCTCTGGAGATAGCTGAGGAGACTTTGGAGAAGGGTTACCACCCAAAGATGACTGAGGAGTCGGCACACAGCAAACAGAGAGGGGGGGTGGGGGGAAGGGCCCATTCTAGGGCTGAGGTCTCCTGCCCCGGGGCCTTCTCTGGGATAAGGAATGATTGACACCCCGGCCAGCCCGAGCAGCCTCTCCAGAGCCCGGGAGGAGAGAAGCGGGGCGGGGAGGCGGATGCGGCCTGCTGGGCTCCACACTGGCCCCTAGTGCCCGTCCCACACGCCCTGGACCGAGGACACATCGCAGCGTCACAGAAAAGGAAACTGAGGCCTGGAGAGGCCAGCCAGGCTTGGCCTTCGGGTGACCCTGGTGCCTGCTGTGTGCCAGGCATTGTGCTGAGCGCGCTACAGACGTGATCTCGTGGTCCTCACTGTCCCTGGGTGCCCTGCCCAGCCCAGGGACGCTGGGTCCCTGACTCCAAGCCTCTGGCGCCCTCTGGTGGCCTAGGTCCCCAGCTCTTAATGGGCTGAGGCAGGGGCCGAACTGTTGGGAGGAGGGGCCTGGGAGCCTCTCTTGGTCCCTCTGTGCAGCTGCTTGGCCTTAGAGACCTCTGTTCCTTCCCAGGGGTGTGATCTCCTCACTAGGAGCACACCTTCCCTGATGCAGATCGCAGCCTTCTGTGGTAGGTCCCTTGGGCCTGAGAATGACAGTCACAGCCCAGTTTGACCTCAGTGCTTTTACAGTGTCAAAAAGCAAGTTCCTCAAAACAAACCGTGAAGTAAAGAATGAAGCTGATTGCCCTGTTTGGAATCGTAGGGTACAAAGTGAAGGGCCTGAGTCAGGAGACCCGAGTTCAAATCCAGCCTCAGACACTCACTGGACCAGTCCCTTCACCTCTGCCTCAGTTTCCCCCACTAGAAAATGGGGGTAACAGCAGCCCCTGCCTCCTGGGAGCCTGTTTATAAAGCGCTTCATGAGTCTTAAATCGAAGCCAAACACTTGGTCTCTAACCCGGTCACTTGGAGGCCACAGCCTTTCCTCCCATACTTGGCCGTCGCGGCCCACATGCAGACTGGTCGAGGCTCTGCAGCCTCACCTGCGCGCCCCTTCCCCCTGTCCCTGCAGATCATACAGATGCTCAGGGAGTACTTGGAGCGGCTGGGGCAGCACGAGCAGCGGGACCGGCTGGATGACCTCTGCGCCCGCCTGCAGATGACCAGCACCAAAGAGCAGGTGAGGGCCGGCCTCTGGAAGGGCTGCCTTTACTGACCTTCCTGCTGCAGCCAGCGCCCTCCCGTGGCCTTGCTAACATCTGTGGGGGTCCTGAACCAGGGAAAGAGCATACCCTGTTAAAGTGCAGTTGGGGTTAAGCGTCTTTTCCAAGGGTTAGAACAGTGGTCACTTAAACACTCGGCTCCTTCCCTGCTGTCCCGATCCCTTCTGAACAAGAAAGACGGCCCAGGTGGTCACAGGTCAGTTGCTCCAAGCGATGGGGAAGGCCAGGATCTTTGTCCGCCTCCCTAAGAAAGGCCTTTTGTTCTTGGCCCTGAGGCCCTTTCTCACTGGGGAAGGTCTGCAGAGGGTTGTAGGCTGGAGAAATATTCCTATTTCTAGAGAAACTGAGGAGCTTTTGAATGGGCTCCTGCATGTCCTGAGATGGGCAGGGCCCAGAGAGGTCTGAGCTGCCCACAGAGAGCTCTCCTGACTGGCTAGTGGGAGGGGGGAGAGCCCCTGGGGTCTGTGGGAGGACCTCTTGCTCAGAGGCTGCAGAGGCCTCCCCTCTCTTCCTTGGTGAGGGGGCCCAGCAGGTGGCTTCTCTTTGGAGGAGCCAGGGAGGAGCTGAGTCAGCTGGAGCTGTTGGGGATCCAGCCAATGTGGAAGGTCATGGGGTCAGAGGTCCTGCTTTCAGCACTGGCTGAAGCCTACTGAGTGCTGGCTTGTTCTAGGCCCATGCTATGCCACAGGGCTACAGACATCAGGAGCTCAGAATTAGGGTTCGAGGTGGGGGTGGGAAAAGGGGAATGCCTCCTGGTTCTGGGCTGGAGAAGACTGCCTGGAATTTGGTCCTGGAGCTATAGGGAAGGTCTGATTATCCAGTCTGGCCATCTACAATAGGACTGTTCACATCTGCTCTCTTGTGATTTTTCTCCCCAGCCTTTTGATAGAGGGAGAGCAAGTAGAATTCTTCCCATTTTAGAGATGAGGCTTAGAGAGGTTTGCTTTGGTTCTGACAGGTGGACGAGGTGACAGACCTCCTGGCCAGTTTCACATCGCTCAGCCTGCAGATGCAGAAGCTGGAGAAGAGGTAGCCCCAGAGAGAGGAGCCTCCTGTGCCCTCCACGACCTTTGCCCAGCTCCCATCATCCTCATCTCAGGAAGAGGGGAGATGCCAGCCTGTCCTGCTACTCTTCCCTGGATCCCCCCTGCTGGTGCCCAAAGGGCCCCACTTCTCAGAGCCTCCTCTTTTGGCCTCTATCACCAGACACCCAACACCATTCCCTCCGTCCCCAGACAGCCCAGCCAGGCTGATGCTGTTGGCCTCGCTCAGGAGTCCCAGCTTGGGGGTTTCTAGACCCCCTTCTCCTTCTCCTTTCCTGGACACAAATGGGAGCAGCTGGGCCTGACCCCTTCCCCATTCTCTCTTATAAGCTTTTCACTAGCAAAGATTCAAGTGCATGCCTTTGAGGCTTGCTATTGTGAGCAGAGAAGGGGGTAGGGGTGGGGAGGAGCCCGTTTTCTGAGGCCTTTTCGGGAAGACCAGGGGTTCTGGAGGTAGACATCGCACCTTTCACCAGCGCTTAAATCTCAGACTTGACCCCTCAGTGATGGAGTGTGGTGAGCTGAGTGAGGATTTTCTTTTGAGATGGGAGGTTCTGGGTGGGGCCGGGCATTTGTGAGGCTGCAGTCTGTTGAGGGGGAACGGCTTTGAACCAAAGCGTAGAGCGGAAACCTTGTCATTGGAAGTGTTGGTTCTTGGCAGGAGGCAGGACCCTTCCCTGCCTCCTCTTGTGGGGAGGCCCAGTGAGGAGCTGCCTCCATTCTGGGGCTGTTCGGAAAGGGTCACTGCCTCTCCTCTCCTTACTACATCTCTGACCACTCTGGGAAAACAGCCTGTCGCTGCCTGCGGGCTCTGACTCCCTGTTTTCTCTTTCTCCCTTCACCCTTTGGCTGGGGGCTGGTGAGGCTGTTTGCCAGGCTCTGCTCCAGGCTGCTCCCCTGAGCCCCTGGGGGCAGGCAGGGCCCTGAGAGGCCTCCGGGAGGGGAGGACAAAACCCAAGGTGGTGGATTGCAGACTGGAGGGCCATGGCTGTGTCCATGAGGCAGAAGGGAATTGGCCAAGGAGAAGGGGAAGCTTGCCCTCCTGGTGCCGGCGACTTGACCAGCAGCTCCTGGGGTCTCAGGGGCTCTGAGGCAGTTGGGGGCTGGCCTTCTTCCCACTCTCCTAGCGGCCTCACCCACCCTCAGGGCGTGTGGCCAGCACTTTAAAGGGGAGCAGCAGGGTGGATCTGCCTGGGGAGCAAGGGTGGGCTTCTAGCGCCCTCCTCCCCGAGACCCAGTCCCCATTGCTTGAGATGGAGCCCGGGCCCTAAGCAGGGAAGTCAGTAAAGCCTCCATTCTGTCATTTATCATCTGAGCACTCAAGGCCAGAGCCAGAGCCACCTTGCCTTAAAGTGTGCAGCATGTCCTCACCTCACCTCAAGCTAGCCCAGGGAGGGGGCAGATCTACCCCCATCGTAGACAGTGAGACGACCTGCCCAAGGTCACTTGATGAGGCTCAACCTTTGTTCCAACCCTTGAGTCCAGAGCCCTTCGCACCCGTCCCCTGTGCTGTGTGTGAGGTCTGTAGAGCCCAGGTGAGACCCCCACACTCTGGGCAAGGTCCATGCAGGCAGCTGGCAGAGAGATCGGGGCATTGAGGCCACAGCTCTTCCCCCTCTTCCCAACTCCCACTGGGGTGTGGCCACTATTCTGGGCCCCTCTGAGACCCCCCCCCCCAGTGCTGCCGGGCTAGGAGGCTTCTTTAGGGGCTGTCCTCGTCTTATTCTTTCCTGGGAACGTGGAGATCCCCACCGAGGAATTCCTGCAGGTGAATATGCCCCTTCAGGCTGGGTCTTCTCTGTCTCCAGGTGTGGCAGGTATGCTCCCCACTCTGTGGGGGATGGAGACCTCCCATAAAGCCACAGTCACAAGCCACTTACTGGTTCCTAATGAGGGTCAGACACAGTGGGGAGAGTTGGGAGGGTGAAGGAGAAGGCCTGGGGAAGGTTTCCCCCCAAAAGGCTGCCACCTTTAAGCCTTCACTGTAACATGGACAAGTTGACCCAGAAAATAAATTGCTGTGTGTTAGGGAGAGTGGAATTTCTAGCTTAATGTATGTGGATTTGTCAAAAGTCCATGGTGACTGTCCCTCAGCACCCCCTAAGGTGGCTGCCTGCCTTGCTGACCCCACACCCCAGTGGGACATGAAGGGAACCCTGCTCCCCCCCCCACCATCGATTCCACCGAAGAGTGCAGAAGTGGAGCAATGAAAAGATCCTCGGACAGCTGGGCCGGGAGGAATCTCCCAGACTATCGGTCACCTTCGCCTCTGGCCCCCCACTTTCCCAGGAAGCAGTCAGTGACCTTGGCAGGAATGAAGGGAACACTTGTAAAGCTCTGATGTGTGGAGCACTGCTAAGCCCTGGGATGCAGATGAAAAGCCAGACAGCCCCTTTCCCCAGGCAGCTCACCTGCTGGGGGAGATGACCCAGAGGGGAGGTCTCGGGGTCCTTAGGGTGTAGGGGCAGAGCAGATGGTCAGGCTTCTTAATGCCATTTTCGCTGATAAGTCGTTTTCTAACATTGGACTATTGGCCAGGGCCAACAAGAACCCTCCTTTCTGGGTCTTCCAGAGCTGTGGCTGCAGCTCCTGCAGGAAGGAGCTGTCCCCAGGCTGCATCTCCCCAGGGTGGCTCCCCAGGACGATGGTGGAGGGCCCTGGGCTGGTAGCATGGGTGTTCCCATGGCTCTGGGGCTGTCTCCATCAGGGGCTGAGAGGAGATGGTCAGGATGGTGGGGGGTGGTCGTCTGGCCCCTGCTGCCTCCTGTCTCTCCCAGGGTGCCCTGATGCTTTGCCAGTGCTTGGTGGGGAGGGCTAACTCCCCCTCCCCAGGGGATGCCTGGGCCAGAAGCCAGCCCCCAGGGGGAAGACCAAGGGCCCTGAGGGCTTCTGTACTCAGACAGACTTAGAGATCAGAGTCTGACCTCTTCCTTCTTTTAGGAGGATACAAGGAAGGTCAAGAATGGCGGCTGCCCCAACCATTAGTGCCAGGGCCAGGTCTAACGCCTGGCTTTCGGGGGCAGCAAGCTTCCTCGTTGGGCCACATTGCGTTTTCCGGGGAGACGAGCCATGCGTACAAGCCATGATGTGAAATCTCATGGTGTGAGATGAGGGCTTCGTGGTGGCCGGGACAGTATGTGCTGCTGCATCACCAGGCCTCCTTACTCCTGTGCCTGCTCACCTGATTGCTGCAGTCCGCAGCTTCCCAGAGGCCTTCCCTGACGTGCACACAGACATCCCTTCCAGCTAAAAGTGTTAAGTGACTGCCTCCTCCAGCGTCAGCCTCTCCCTTGCCCCAGTCATCTTTCTGTTCCGGCTTGTGTATGTGTTGGGTTCACCCTTATTAAAATGCAAACTTTTTGTGCAAGAACTGTGTTGGTTTCTCACTGGGGCATGCCCTGTGGCTGGCCCAGGCCTGGGAGCCCCACGCAGCAGGTGTTTGTTTAATGTTTGTGGGACTGGATGGAATTGGGAGATCCTCAGGGAGCGAGATCCAGGAGCTTCAGACATTTGGGGGGCCTCAGACTGGCCATTGAGTCCAAAGCCTTCTTACGGGTAAGAAGCCGAGGCCCAGGGAGTGAGGGTCTTGCTGGAGGTGGTCCCTAAGGGAAGGCTTTCTCCAAGAGGTGAGATTCTAGTTGAGTCTCGAAGGGGAAGGGGAAGAGCAGACTAGCTGAGGTGAACATCTCCAGGCATATTCGGTGGAGTCAGGGATCCGGCCCCCACCTACACTGTTTGACAGTGAGGAGCGCCTCGGTCTGTCGACTCCATGTTTGATGACCTGAGGCAAGTCACAGTCTCATCTGTAAAACCAAGGAGCCATCACCCCACTTCTAACAATCTATGAGCACCAACTTTTTCACACCAGCTAAAAATGCTTTGTATCCCAGGCCAAGAACACTAGGAAATTGGGAAAACAAGCCGGATTATGCCAATGAATGTTTCCCAATTTTCCCTCAATTAAGGAGGCAACCATTGAGATCCAAATGTAGGGATGGGTTGGAGGTGGGAGGGTAGAAAAGTGGTTTGAACCAGAAATCTCTGAGGGCAGCCTCCAAACTGGCCAGAGACAATAGCAGCAGCACATCCTCTAGGCCAGCCTGGGAAGTCCAGAGACCTGAGATCGTACCCTCCAATTGACTCCTTAGAGCTGGAGGAGCCTTAGAACTGGAATGACAGAACTGGGAGGTACCTTGGAACATGGAATATCAAGGCTGGGAGGAACCTTAGAACAGGGGATGTCAGGGCTGCATGCTGGGAAGGACCTGGGAAGGATAACTTAGTGAATCCTCCATCATTTAGGTGTTTGGATACCTCAGAAGTCCTTGGGGGTCTAAAGCCCCGGATATTCTGAATTAGGCAGGGCTTTATTCTTGACATAGTCCACTCCTCTGACCCCTTTTTTTCTCACTTAATTTTCCATCTCCAGATTGTGGCCCCTACCCCCTGGACTTACAGAAACATAAGATCGTAGGGATCCAGCCCGGCCTCTTCCCTTTTACCAGCCCCAGGGAGGGGGAGACACTTGCCAAGATCCAGCAGGTGAGGGAGCCCCCCCTTCTGAGCCCCTGACCAGTGCCCGCCAGCCTTCAGATCGATTCAGCTGACGTCAGAGGGCTGCCCATCCAGATCCCATGTCATTTAAAAAATGTTGATGTGTCAGTTTATAATTGCTGTGCCCCCTGCCCCCCATGAGTATACGTGGGGGTCTCACTTCAGCTCTGAGTGGACACTGGGCACAGGAGGGGCTGGGTCAGCCCCAACACCTTGGAGACGGGGGGAGGTCTGCTTCTCTTGTCGGACTCTGAGCCTCCTAGAAGCCTAGAACTGAGTGAAAACCGACAGAATCATCATCCTAATAGTGTCCATGTACACAGCATTTTCAGGCTTTCCAAATGCTTTACATGTATTATGTTACTGGATCCTCACAACCCTGCCAGGGGGCTGCTGTTATCATACCCATTTTAGAGAAGAGGAGACAGGCTGCTGTGCTATGTCTAGGTACTTGTCCTCAGGTCTTCTGGACTCTAAAGTTCAGCTCTCTGTCCACTGTGCCACCTAGCTGCCGTCTGATCCAAACCTCCCCCCTCCTTTTTACATGGAAGGAAACAGGTGCTGCTAGTGGACTCAGTCATGGCTATACAGGCGGCAACTTGGACTCCGAATTCAGTGAGGCTCCAGATCTGTGCTTTCCCACCCTGTTTCTGCCTACCAGTCTGTAGGAGGGGAGGGGGCTTAGACGGTCTTACCCGTCCTGCCCTGCCCAATTTCCTTTGCCCCTTTCTAGGACTTCTAGAAGGCCTGAAGGTGGGCAGCTTGAGAAACCTCTAGGCATGGTTGCAGAGGGCTTCGTCTCATTGGATTCTCCCACTATCTCCAACAAAAGGTAATTAAATTATTGCCTCTATTTCAGAGGCAAAGAAGGGCTCTGAGTGATTGTTCCTCCCCCTAACAGTACAGAGTTAGCATGGGGCATAGGATGATAGGTGTGAGAGACCATTTTGCAGATGAGGAAACTGAGGAACTCCCCTAAGGAGATGCTCCCTTCTCTCTCTCTCTTCTCTCTTTTTCCTGTTTCTTCAGCCCTCTCTCCCCCCACAGTCCTCCTACATCATGTGCCCCCAGCCCTGTCCTGATCCTTCCCAGCCCCCTTCATGGATGTGGTTACTTCCTTTGTGCAGCTCCAAGCAAAGGCGACTTTAATTTCCCATCTCCCTGGCCCTGGTGGCCTGTAACTCAGCTCCAAGCCAGCCAGTGACATGCCAAACAAGCCTCTGGGCAGGGATGAGAAATTGATATTCACTAATGGGAAACCTTGGCCTGGTTAATTAGTATTTATTTCCCCAAGTACAAGCCATTCAGATGATAAATAGCAATTCCCTGCCAGCTCCGAGTACAGGATGGTGAAGGAGGAGCTGGGGCGGCGGCCCACGTCAGCCACCCCCGCCCAAACCACAGGGTTGCGGGGGTCCAAGGCCCTAAGAGCACTGATCGCAGGCTCATTTTAGAATTGGAAGGGAATTAGAGTCCATTTTATGGGTGAGAAAACTGAGGCCCAGAGACGCTAGGTGACTTACCCAGGGTCACAGCCCGTAAGGGGTGAGGTGGAATTTGAATGCGTATCTTCCTGACTCCACGGCCACGTTGCCTCTCAAAAGTCCTCTTCACTGTCTGTCTCTCCAGTGACTGAGAAGGTCGTCACCACAGCGGTCCTCAGGGAGATTACCCTTAGCCCAACCTCCAAGGCTCCCTATCATCTGGCCCCATGGCCCTGCTCACCTGCATGGCACATGTACCTCCTGCCAGGCTGGTCTGGCCACCCAGCTTCCCAACGCTTAATGCCTTCCTGCCTCCACATCTGGGTTCATACCAAGAACAGGCTGCCTCTGCATCTCTGCTGCTTTCAATCCCGCTCCTGCTGCCTTCCAAGTCCAGCTCATGTCCCGGTCTTCTGGGAAGCCTTTACTGAGGCCCACCACTAGTTTCAGGGAGGGCCCTCCCTCCTTCAGACTCCTGGAGTCCTGGAGTGGTCAGGACCACTTAGGACAGGCCACCTCAGGGAGTCATCTTTTCATTTCCAGAGCCTGGGGTAGCAGCAGAAAGAGTGAAGGATTTCAGGTCGGGAGGCTTGGATTCAAGGGCTCAGGAGGCAGCATGATATAATGGGAAAGAGTGGTTTTGGAGGAGGACCTGAATTCTAATTCTGCCTCTGTTCCTTCCTGCCTGTGGGACTTGGTGAGTCACTGCGCTCCCTTATCTGTAAATGAAGGGGAAGATTAGGGGGCCTCTCAGGCATCTTACACTTCTAGATCTACCATCATGTGACCAATCCATCAAACATTCAGTAGGTGTCTACTGTGTGCCAAGCACTGTGATGTGAGTACAGAGAGTGAAAGCATCTCTACTCTCCAGGATCTTATATACTGATGGAGACTATATGTAACTATAAAAATATATATATATATATATATATTCACACCCACAATCTATATATGTTTGTCTTATATGTTAATATATGCTTGTCATATATTA